TTCATGTATTGCTATTATCTTATCACTGTTGTAGCGGTGTAAGAGAAGGACCGTTTAAAAGGGTATTTTGTTTCTAATTATGTTTGAACAAAATGGATTCTTTTGTTTATTGCTTAAGTTTTTCTGAAACTAATGGTTGACATGATTATATTAAATTAATTGCTGTATAAACAATTACTACTCATGTCATAGGTAGCACTAGTGTGTGTGTGTATGTATTGTGTATATGTGGGCGTGTAATATGCTAATATGGAGATATCAATCTGTGCATTTCAATTTCAAGGATGGCAATATAACGTAAATCCGACTGACTAGAAGCGTTTAAAGCAGTGACTAGAAGCGTTTGAAGCAGTGACTAGAAGCGTTTGAAGCAGTGACTAGAAGCGTTTGAAGCAGTGACTTGTAGCGTTTGACTCAAGCAAACGTTCAAGTATTTACAAATTTACTTTTGGGACTCTTTTTTCTCTTTCATTTCCATTATTCCTTTCACTATCAACGAACTATCATTTCAGCTTCCTTCCCATGCTGTATTAGGATCTTTCAATTTCCATCTCACGTTTTTGGACACCCTTTTCAAAATTTCAATTTCGCATTATCGAATTCCCATGCAATTTTGGCTCAAAATTACTTAATAACCTTCTTGAGATGTTTGTCAGTTTCATAGCATTACTTTATTAGTCCCTTGCATTCCACCATTTCCACCAAATTCTGATTCCCTTGATGCCGCTGAATTAGGTGCAGATAGTGGTCCTCTGGCAATAAACAAAGTTCGGACAGGAGATCACTCTCGGGCGAAGCGCCTGACTACGAATTTAGCGTCGGTCAACCCTCTTGACGTTGTGCTCTTAGTCGGAGACCTTGACGGGCATGGTGTATGACTCAGGCGTTAGATATCGGCCGTCATGGACGTCAACGACAATACGCCAGTATTTAAAGCAAGGCAGTGCACAGCGTATCTGTGGCGAGAGGAATTCACTGGAGGCACGATAAAATAATATTCGGAACATGAATTAATGTAGAGAATCTATGTATGCGTTGAGGATACGCTGACATGCATCAATCAGGTCAACCAATCCATAAAATACTTTACTCGAAATTGCGGTCCCTTGGTTCCGAAATAAACAAATAAATATGTAATGTGAATAAATAAATAAATAAATATGTTCTGACACAACAAGAAGCGATTCATATACCAAAATACACGAAAGACTTTGATCGAGGAGAGTTGAGATTTGTAGCTAAATAAACAAATAAATAAATAAAATAATAAAAATATGTCAAAAAACAACAAGAGGTTCAATATGCAAACGCACGAAAGACTTGATCGAGGAGGTTTGGGAGCTTAGTGGTTAAAGTGGTCGCTAGGCACGCCCGGGATCAGGCAATTGGGATTTGTAACATATACACTTCGACGAACAATAACTAAATTGCTGTGGTCTTGGGAGAAATCACAGAGGCCAGACGACGAGGTTGCGGAGCTCCTCCATAACAGGGCAACCCTGCAAGATCCGGGTTAGTAATGGTCTTCAGCAACCCATGCTTGTCGTAGGAGGCGACCAACGGGATCGGTGGTGACAGTCGTTTGAGTAAGCTGACAATACGTCATCGTAAAGCCCGTAACTGCGCAGATCGACGGTTATGCCTTTGAACACCGGACTGTCTGATCCAGACTCGATTATTTCATACAGACTGCCGCCATATAGCTGAAATATTGCAAGAGCAGAAGCGTAAAACTAAACCCATTGACTCACTCCATACAGGGACCGGGTACACCATTTGTAATTGCCTCTAGGAGGATACTTCTAGAATTCATCAAAGATCTGGAAACATCACATGTGAAGAATATTTATAAGCCGGAATAAATTTCCTTGAAATCTTTCGGAAACCTACTGCATATCTTTCACCAACCTTTCCAATGTATTGGTACTTTTCAGTAAATTTGTAGGGATTACCACTTAAAATGCACCCATTGTGACACCCATTTTTGAAACTCTAAATTTATGTTTGTGCTAATAAATAACACCTGCTACCTACTTTGTGTAACTTTAATGTAAAATGTTTTCTCTGATGATGAATAGGTTATGGAAGGTTGGCGGAGACAGCAATGGTCAACAAATTTCAACATAAAATCAACTTGGAGAAGTTAATCATCATTTCAACGGATCGGTATAATTGGTTTCGAACTCTTTAGGAAACTTCTAATTATTAACCTTCAATTGCGACTGATGCTGACAGTGTGGAACCAATCGGTCAGTTTATATCTAACATCAGTGACGGTAACAACGACGGTTTGTTCAGACTTGACGGGGTCGATCTGTATGTGCAAGTTGTAGACTACGAATCGGCACCGTCAATAGATTTCACGTACTTCCTTGATTTGTCAATAAGTTGCTGGACTACGCAGCTGATGTAAGAACAGGCGTCACTTGCCGTTGTATTAGAGTAGGGAATTTTACTAATGAAACGATTATTACCGACATATCACGCTTTCAAAATAATAGATACAAACATCTTTGAAATATAAAAACATGATCTATCCGACCATTTTTTGTTAAGATCTGCACCCTCGAGAACGAGTTCGCCCCTGTGTGGAGCAGGTATAAGTCTGCCCTGCGTGGACGGTGCAGGACATTTCCCTGGTGACCCTCGTGGATGAGGATGTAAGCCCCGATTATGACGTTGTCACCGTTACAGCGACTGGACGCGGGACCTCGAGAAGACGGTGAAGTGACGTACAGTATTACGTCAGTTGTGTCAGGGTACAGCGAAAATGTGTGTACAACTTCGAGGGTCATGAAACAGTTAAAACCTTTGCTATATTCAAAGCGGGTTTTTCGAGCATTACAAACCATGGCCCTTATTTTTTCAAAATTATATCAATTTCTTTACTGATTCTTCTTATGTCCCTCAATTCCGCCAACTGCAAAATGAACGTCGGCTATTTTAGGATTATCCAACTCATCTGCTCTTGATAATGAGTGTCAACATTCTATAGTGTTCATTATCGAATCTGGAACCGGTAAACTTAAATCCAGTTCTCAGTTTCGATTTTTGACCAATCGACAGGAGGGGTCAAGTATTATGACGTCACGATCACAGTCTCCGGATAAAGGAAACTGTACCGAAGACCACTTCAGCAGTTCAACGTGTCAACCTCACCAACGTCAACGAATATCGCGCCGGAGTTTTCGAACGACATCTACACCGTCAACGCAGTTCGTACCGATGTCGTGGCATCGTCACCGTGACGTTGCTTGGCAGATGACTATGGATAGTCCCTTCCTTTACTACGAAATCGAAGCTGGCGAACAAATCCCTATGTGTCTGCTGACAGCGTTTCAGGGAGGTAACTCCCCATATGCTCCCCCAACTTGAGGTAATCGCTGTGACAGACGTATCCAAATCGATACCATTACTAGTGTCAGACCAGGGTCCCCGAATCTTCAGGGAAAAGGTCACCTACTGGGTGCTCTTTGGAAACCGTCAAACCAATGCAGCGTAGCAAGCAAATCTATAAAGCAAACGTCTACACGCCAACGTTCTCAAAGTCTCCTTCAACACCGGTTGCTGTTCCAGAAAAATACCACAGGAGGCAAATGGTTGCAAAAAGGTTTCCAACGAGAAGCAATACTATCTCCGCCCATTGTTGCGAAAAGATTGACATTGTATACATATGAAATATATATGTTAGGTAAATCTTTTCGAGCAGATTCGCATGAAGTATCAGTGATTGCAGCTTACTTTCTGATCGAATTTCAATATTGACTGATCACTGACAAGACTCTTTGTCTGTTGCTTAACGCCGCACTCAGCAATATTCAAAGCTGTATGACGCATGTCTGGAAATAATGTAGTCAGGGACAGGTAATCCAGTAATGGAAATCATGAGTATAGATCTTCACAATCGGAGGAACTGCTGGACTAACGTCAGGCCAGTTACCGAGCATGACCACCTAATCTCCCAAATCGTCTCCTGCCACAATCAAGCGTGCGTTGCTGGATATCCAGTTGTATAGGATCTTCCTGGGGAGACAGGGAGTAATAAAGTGGTGCATTCATTTGTTCTGGTATTCCTCCTAGAGCAGGATGTGGCTCGGATGTGGAAATTTGTGATACTATTAAGTATATTTCTAATTCCTGTCAGTAATATTTCTTAATGAATTTGTAATATTAGTAATTCGTCTGCCCGTCAGATTAGCTCTATAATGGGTACCGGAGTGATTTCATCAGCCTCTGGAATCATGTCAAACTCAGGGGACATTAAGAATTTAGTCCGGCGATTGGGGTAGCCTACAGTGGGTAAATGGCGGTTCTGTTCAGTTCACGCTGCAGACCCGGGTTCGATTCTCCATATGGGTACAATGTATGATGCCCATTTCTGGTGTCCCCCGACGTGATATTAAGCTGGAATATTCGTTGAAAGTGGTGTAAACCAACTAACTCGCTACTCTTTAAAATCAGTCCAGTATCAGAGAAAGAGAGTTACGCTGATGCGAATTTGCTCTTTATAAATCTGATTCTTCGATGAACATATAGGTCTACTGTTGCGTTCGGTGACAACACAAACCAAATAATTTATACACGTATTACAAAGTCAATATTAGTAATTATGTTTCCCTGTTCAACCAGAGACCCTTATCTTGGACCTTCACTGCAACTGACGCTTCGACAATGGAACTAACGGTCAATTTGCGATATTCAACATCAGCGACGGCAACAACGCGACAGCTTGTTCAGACTTGACGGGGACGATTCAGTATGTGCAAGTCGTGGACTACGAATCAGCAACGTCAATAGACTTCACGTAATTTCTGACGGTCACCGCCGTTGACCACGCAGCCGATGCAAAGAACGGGTGTCACCTCGTCGCTATTGTGGAGGCAGAAGCGGTGGTTTATACTTAATCAAACGATATTGTTAAAACTTGTCTTACGCTGTCCAAATAATAGATAAAATATCTTTTAGATTTAAAATATATACGTCCGATTATTTTTGTTAAGATTTACCCCGAGAACGAGTTCGCCCCCGTGTGGAGCAGTCCTTCTGTGAATGGTGCAGGATATTTCCCTGGTGTGACCGTGGATGAGGATGTAAGCCCTGATTATGACGTTGTCACCGTTACAGCGACTGACGCGGACCCGGAGAAGACGGTAGAAGTGACGTACAGTATTACGTCAGTTGTGTCAGGTACAGCGACAATGTGTAGGGTCATTAACAGTTAAAACTTTTGCTATATTCAAAGTGGTTTTTTTCCGAAACATAAAACATGGCCCTTATTCTTTTCAAAATTATAACAATTCTTTACTGATTCTTTTTATATTCCTACAATTGAAAATAAACGTCGGCTATTTAGATGATCAACTCCATAATGCTCTGGTGATACGAGTGTCACCATTCCAGGGTGTTCATTATCGAATCCGGAACCGGTAAACTTAAATCCAGTTCCAGTTCTCGGATTTTGACCAAATCGACAGGAGGGGTCAAATATTATGACGTCACGATCACAGCCTCCGATAAAGGAACTGGCACCGAAGACCACTTCCGTTAACCAACGGGTCAATCCTCACCAACGTCCAACGACATCGCACCTGAACTTCAAACCGGTTGACATACACCGTCAACGCAGCCTGTACCGATGTCGTGGCATCGTCAGCTCATGACGTTGTCGGCAGATGACGAGGATAGTCCTCCCTTCTTTACGAAATCGAAGCAGAACAAATCCCTATGTGTCCGTTGACAGCGTTTCAGGGGAGGTAACTCTCATAGCCTCCCCAACAGGTGTCGCTGTTACAAACTTGGTCCAGTCGATACCATTGCTGGTGTCAGACCAGGGTACCCCGAATCTTCAGGGAAAAGGTCACCTACTGGTGCTCTTTGAAAACTGTCAAACCAATGCAGTGTGCAGCAACGACAGCAACGTCTACACGCCAACGTTCTCAAAGTCTCTTCACACTGTTGCTGTTCCAGAAAATACCACAGGAGGTAAATGGTTAAAAAAAGGTTTAAACGAGAAGCAATACTATCTCCGCCCATTGTTGCGAAAATGCTAGACATTGCATACATGAAATATATACGTTAGTAAATCTTTCGAGCAGATTCTCATGAAGTATCAGTGATTGCAACTTACTTGCACAATCGAATTTCAATATTGACTGATCACTGACAAGACTCTTTGTTTGTTGTTTAACGCCGCACTCAGCAATATTCAAGGAGAATGACGGCAGTCAGGAAATAATGTAGTCAGGGACAGATAATCCAGTAATGGAAATCATGAGTATAGATCTTCACAATCGGAAATTATTGACTAACGTCGGCCAAAGAGTTACCGAGCATTTGATTCAATTCCTGATCCCGTTAATCGTCTCCTGCGACAATCATGTGTTGCTGATATCCAGTTGTAACAGATCTTTCCCGGGAGACAGGCAGGAGTAATAAAGCTGGTGCATTCATTTGCTCTGGTATTCCTCCAGGGAGGGCAGGATGTGTCCGTATGTGGAAATTTTATCACTATTAGGTATATTTCTAATCTTCTGTCAGTATATATTAATTAATGAATTAGTAAATTAAAGTATTTATCTGCCGTAAGATTAGTTCTATATAATCGGGGTACGGAGGATTTTCGTTAGCCTCTGAATCTCACAAACTCCAGGGACATTAAAATTTAGTCCAAGCGGTGGGCTAGCCTAGTGGGTAATGCTCTCGCTCGTCACGTTGCAGACCCGGGTTCGATTCTCCACATGGGTACAATGTGTGATGCCCATTTCGGGTGTCCCCCGACGTGATATTGCTGGAATATTGCTGAAAGCGGCGTAGAACCATACTCACTCACTTAAAATCAGTCCAGTATCAGAGAAAGAGAGTTACGTTGATGCGAATTTGCTCTTTGAGTAAATCCGATTCTTCGATGAACATATACTCCTTACTGGTACGTTTGGTGACAACACAAACTAAATACTTATATACGTATCACAAAAGTAAATGGTTAGTAATTATGGTTCCCTGTTCAACCAGAGACCTTCTTATCTTGACCTTCACTGCAACTGACGCTGACAATGGAACCAACGGTCAGTTTACATTCAACATCAGCGACGGCAACAACGACGGCTTGTTCAGACTTGACGGGGACGATCTGTATGTGCAAGTTGTGGACTACGAATCGGCATCGTCAATAGACTTCACGTACTCCTTGACGGTCACCGCTGCTGACCAACGCAGCTGATGCGCAAGAACAGGCGTCACCGTCGTCATTTCGAAGCTGCATACCAATCAAACGATATTATTAAATCATTGTCTTATGCTGTCAAAATAACAGATAAAATATCTTTTTAGATTTAAAAATATATATACGTCCGATTATTTTGTTTTAGATCTCCCCGATGAACGAGTTCGCTCCCCGTGTGGAGCAGTCCTTCTGTGAATGGTGCAGGATATTTCCCTGGTGTAACCGTGGATGAGGATGTAAGCCCTGATTATGACGTTGTCACCGCCGTTACAGCGACTGACGCGGACCTCGGAGAAGACGGTGAAGTGACGTACAGTATTACGTCAGTTGTGTCAGGTACAGAAAAATGTGTACAACTTCGAGGGTCATGAACAGTTAAAACCTTTGCTATATTCAAAGCGGCTTTTTTTCGAGACTTAAAAATGGCCCTTATTTTTTCTTTCAAAATTATAAATAATTCTTTGCTGATTCTTCTTATATTCATACAATTGAAAATAAACGTCTGTTATTTAGATGATCAACTCATTCGTTTCAGATACGAGTGTCAACGCTCCAGGGATGTTTATTATCGAATCGGGAACCGGTAAACTTAAATCCAGTTCTAGCTTCGATTTTGACCAGTCTCGACGGGAGGGGTCATCAAGTATTATGACGTCACGATCACAGCTCTCCGATAAGGGAACGTGTACCGAAGAATCACTTCAGCAGTTCAACGTGTCAACCTCACCAACGTCAACGACATCGCACCTGAATTTCAAACCGTTTCACATACACCGTCAACGTAGCCTGTAACCGATGTCGTGGCATCGTCACTTGTGACGTTGTCGGCAGATAACGAGGATAGTCCCTCTCCTTCTTTTTACGAAATCGAAGCAGGAACAAATCCCTATGTGTCCGTTTTCGACAGCGTTTCAGGGAGGTAACTTCAAAGCCTCCCCAACAGGTGTCGCTGCTGCCAAACTTGGTCCAATCTGATACCCATTATTGGTGTCAGACCAGGGTACCCCGAATCTTCAGGAAAAGGTCACCTACTGGTGCTCTTTGAAACTGTCAAACCAATACAGTGTGCAGCAACGACAGCAACGTCTACAGCGCCAACGTTCTCCAAGTCTCTTCACACAGTTAAGCTGTTCCAGAAAATGGACGGGGAGGTAAATATTTATTATCCAGAAGAAATGTTTAAATTAAAATCGATGTTTTTTGCCCTCTTTTGCGAAAAATGGAATGTACTCAAAGGTCTGTATGAAATACAAACGCAAGGAAATCTCTTGAGCATTCGCTGGTGTGCATGAAGTATAATTATACTGCAGCTGCCAAAAAATGAGTGAGTGAGTGACTTTAGTTTTACGCTGCTTTTCGAAATAATCCGGCCCGGAACACCGGAAAGGGCTTCACTCATTGTACCCATGTCGGGAATCGAACCTGGGTCTTCAACGTGACGAACGAACGCTTTACAGCCTGGCTACCCAGCCGCTTCGCAGCTGCCAACAAATTCTAATTGCAATGATTAAATAATTGTCTATAAAACCTCGTTCAGCACTATTCCAGCTATATCATTGTGGTCTGTAAATATTTGAATCTGGGCCAGACAATCCAGTGATCGGCATAACGAGCATCGAACTACGTAATTTTGGAATCATCCATGGGAGCTAGCATGCTCGCCAAATCTCAACAGTCGCCTTTAACGACCGACAAGCTGAAGACCAGTTCTAAACTAAATCGTCACGGGGGACTTTAAACGTCAGTTCCGTGTCTCCATTAACGACGCTTGTAGCAATATTCCAGCAATATGACGGCGGGGGACATCAGAAATGGGCATCACACATTGTACCCATGTAGGGAATTGAACCCGGGTCTTCAGCGTGAAGAGCGGGCGCTTTAACCGTTAGGCTACCCACCCCCTCCTGTTGATTACGCTTGAGTACAATGTTACCAAATATATGTTTAAAAATGAAGATGAACTTGTTCTCTATAATCCAGAGAGTCTCATCTTAACATTCACTGCAACCGACGGCGACAACGGAACCAACGGACAGTTTTCTTTCAACATTATCGACGGCAACAACGACGGATTGTTCCGACTTGACGGGGACAACCTCTACGTGCAGGTCGTAGACTACGAAGGCTCAGCTTCGGTAAACTTTACTTACACCCTGATCGTAACCGCCGTCGACCATGCTGCTGATGCTAAAACGGGAGTGACTGTTGTCGTAGTTGAGGTAAATATTCGCCTGACGACTGGTGTAGGCAGATGGCTATAATCTATTGTTTGCAGACGATGAAGCATCATAAATTAACGAAATTTGATTATCAATGCTGTCTTGTAATTTGTTAGGTTTAGCCGATGACCACCTTTCTCAAGGCCAGTTTAAGACTATTACAATTCTTTGTAAAGTAAAGGCTGTCATATAGAATTAATCCTATGTTACGTTTATGTTCGTTGTTTGTTGTTTAACGCCGCACTCAGCTATATTCCAGCTAAATGGCGGCGGTCTGTAATTAAGCAGCCAATCCAGTGATCAACAGCATGAGCATCGATATACATACTCGAGATACGATGACATGTGTCAACCAAGTCAGCGAGCCTGACCACCCGATCCCGTTAGTCGCCTCTTACGACAAGTAGGGGTTGCTGAAGACCAATTCTGACCCGGTTCTTCACGGATCGCTAAGTTTATAAAGTTACCTCAGCCTTAGGGTGTCAGTGTGGAGTTGCTTAGCCTAGTGGTTAAAGTGTTCGGTTGTCACGAGTGCTTGGTTCTGTTCTCCACATTGGTATTCGTGAAGACCATTTCCATCTGCACGAATATGGCTTCTTTCCAGCGGCGGGTTAAACACATACAGTGATTAGTTTTCGCCGCTTTTATAGCAATATTTCAGCAATATCACGGCGGGCGACAACAGCAATGGGCTTCACACATTGTACCCATGTGGGGAATCGAACCCGGGGCCTTCGGCGTGACGAGCGAACGCTTTAACCACTAGGCTACCCCACCGGTGTGGTTAGACCAGATCGACGTTAGTTCATGAAGATCTAATTGGTCCTGGGTTTTGATTACAAGTCAGTCGCGAAGATAAATACATAGATAGGTGCTCCTGTGAATTCGACTCAATGCAACACAACGAATCGGTGGTCTCTGACTTTTTGATAGTATGTATTCAAGTCACATAGCACAACAACGTTAGAGACCGACGGATGGAGTAGGAACATGTTCAGGTAATAATTTACTGTTAGATTAACCTTGCACGAATGCTGGTTCAGATGTTTAAGTATTTACATTTACCAGATCAGTCCCCAGAACGAGTTTGACCCTGTGTATCAGAGTCCGAAGCCGGACAGTAGCGGTGAATTTCCAGTACTGACCGTCAACGAAAATGAACCTCTCGGATATGAGGTCATCGTCGTTACTGCTACCGATGCTGACCTTGGAGTTGATGGTCACGTGGTCTACAGTATCGAGTCGGTTTTGACAGGTAAACCAACAGATATGATATATTGCAACGTTTAAGTTTAAATACTACCAGCAGTTGTTGGCTGACAATGAAGTCGCTATTTGAAGATCGCTACCTTTGAATACAGTTACCTATTATCATATAAGAATGGGTTCTTTGAAGGACATTTAGAATTGTTGATGACCTGTGGGGGTGGGGGTGGGGGTGTCAGGGGTTCGGATATCAGTTTCTCTATTTGTTAACGCATTAAGCTTAAAGCGAGATGAGGTTGAGATATTGCTTTTTACAAATTTTTCAATACTATTATGTTAGAGAAGTTGCAAAACTTCATTCATAAACGATTCCTTTTTGAAACTAAAATGATTGAAAATTACAATGAATAAGTTAATTAATGACGCCAACTAGTTATCGTATATCTGTTAATGTATACCTAATGTTTCTTCAGTACTCTGGCCATGGGTTCTTTGAAAACTGTCCGGTGTACTGATGTCTTATGAGGTTGAACATGGAACCCGTATGGTCTCTGATATAATTCGAAATTCTGCCTTTATGTTTGTGTGTTGATGTTGTGGTGCCCATAGGCGGATCCAGAAGGGGGTTGCAGGGGTGCGCACCCCCACCCCTTTTGTCCTGAAAGGTTATTAAATGACCCGTGAAAACGGGTGGAAATGAAGTGTGCACCCCCACCCCAAAGTTCTCAAGAGTGTGAAAGTGAAAAGAGACACTACAAACAACTATGGTTACACGAAATTCCAATTCCTTGTTTCCTTACGAAAATGGTATATACAAATGAATTTTTATTTTAAATTTACAAAAAAATTCGTATTTCTATATTTTATGGCGAGGTTCAGGCAGCATGACCTTAACTAAGACGTAACAGACTGCCCGTTTGCGAGGTCGTAAAATGATTCACAATTCACTTGGCTCACTGGTTACACCTGTTACGTGTTCTTTGCGCTTATTCAGTGTATATTTGTAACGTACGATGTAATTGATATACATGTAATATCAAGTCCGTACTAGACCGCTAAACCGTTCTAGAGACTGAGCTTCGTTTTGAGATTTCCACGATTTCCAGATTTCCGTTTGTCAGAGCACGCTGTACCACAGAGCACCCTGCGATACGTGGATTAGAAGGAGCGTAGCCTGAGCACGCTGCGATACGTGGATTTGAAGGAGCGTAGTGTTGCAATATACAAGTGATTAGATGGATCAAATAATATTGATTAATATTTATACAACCAGTTGAATGAGTTGGTCTCAAAATTCTGGACTGGTTATTGTACTAAGTTGCGCAATAGGACGGAGCCCAGTCAGCAGGAAACTGTTGTGTAATCAGTGTTTTGACTTGTGAAGTATATCAGATTACCTTCTTCATTCATGTGATGTGTGTTTCAGATGCAGGTGCTAGTGAGCCAAACAAGTTCACTGTGGACCCATCCACTGGACGTCTGACAACGTCATCACATTTGGACTTTGACCCTTCAACAGGCGGAACTGCATACTATAATGTCACAATCGCGGCTTCTGACATGGGGTCCTCGCCAAGAAGCGCCACAGTACTCCAGACAGTGATTGTTCACAACATAAATGATATACAGCCAACTTTATCAGTAACCATGACAACTGTGAATGTGCCATGTGGTACCGCAGGTGGAGCATCACTGGTGACGTTAACAGCTGTTGACGAAGACGGACCAAATCTCAGTTTTGCTATCGATTCAGGGTCTAATCCATACGTCTCCGTTAGCAGTTCAGGGGAGGTAACTCTTCTAAGTTCGCCAGTAGGTAGCGCTGTGGATGACCTTGTTGAAAATATTCAAGTCGTGGTCTCAGATGGTGGAACTCCGGAATTAACAGTAACTGGACATGTACAGATTCTATTCGAAAATTGTGGAAACAGTACTGTTTGTCCTTCCGTTACTACGGCAACGACAACAGTGGGTAAGATTGAGACTTAACATGGGGCCAAGGATGGCCTAGTTGTTTCTGGCGCTGTAATGCGCTTTGCAAAGTTGCGTCCCTTGGCAAACTTTAAACGTGGTGAGGGGCAGGAGGGTAACCCAGTGGTTAAAGCTTCGCTCGTCGCGCGGAAGACCCGGGTTCGATCCCCACATGGGTACTATGTGTAAAGCCCATTTCTGGTGCCCCCCTGCCAAGATATTGCTGGAATATCGCAAAAAGCGGCTTAAAACTAAACTCACTCATGGGTTCGAATCCCAGCTCGCCCTATGTTTCTGGGTCTGTCAGTACGATTCCCGTTTTCAACAACGTAGTCAACGTCGAACGTCTGGGACCAGCATTCCTCCATTAAGGCCAAGATTTTCCCATATACTGTTTAAACCCACCCACTGACGATAATCGTATTACCTCTGACACGATGAGGTTTATAACGTTGAGTATTTGTTTAAACGTATATATGGGTGGATTGAGTTTAAGAAAGCTTATGAAAGATTATCTGTCACATCACATCGTGTAGGCTTCGTGTAAGCAGCTATAAGGTGTATTACCTATCAGAAACCAACCATTCAAATGTCTCGTTCCGGCGAGCGGCGAGCCATGGACAAACGGACCAATGACCGTGCAGCTTTCATCGCCAGAACGGATGCACTAAATGCGCCATATGACTTGCTGATTGCTCGACACATTGCTTTTGCGTGAGGCAGAGGTAGGATTCGCACAAACTTCATGCACGGAGTTTGATGATTTGACATTCAAATGATACTTTTTGATACCCTGCCTTGCGTTGAGGTGATAAAAGCAGGATATTTCGGCCCTAGATAGAGAGAATCTCACCCGAGTGTCTTTTGATAACAAATATATCACCACGAGTTGATAAAGTAACAAATATCCGAGGCTTGCCGAGGATATTTTTACTTTTATCAACGAGTGTTGATATATTTGATATCAGAAGACACGAGGGTGAGATTCTATGTATCATCCAAAATCATTCTTCATTAGTTTTCAATGAAAAATGTACATCTCTGAACACAGTACTGCCATTAGATTTGCAGTGCAGCGATGTCATAGCATTGTGACGTCATCAAGTTCATGGCGTCATAGCATTGTCAGGGCATTATGCAAAATCTACTGTCAAAACGATATCTCCTAGGAGATATCGTCTGATCTCACACAAGCGATATCTCCTTTGGAACACAGTTTTGGATGATAAAATACCACTTTGCTGGCAATATTAAACTGACGTCGGACCAGTACAAGCAGTCACGCACACACGCACTCAAGCACGTACGCGAGCACGTGTTAAGTTACAAGTAAAAAATGTGCAAGGTGACTTAAACCCCATTTTACCTTACCCCGTTTCTAAATATGCATAACTGCAGCTGCAGATGTTGTTCATGTCTCTGCTGCAGCTCCAACGTGTGACTGCAGCAACATCACGACGACGGAAGATAATCCTCCGTCCAGGTCAGCCAATGACGTCATTGAGACTTGGGTAATGAGGGCAGTGGTCATGATGCTGACGGCAGCGTTGTTTGGGGTTCTCGCCATGCATTTCAGGTAAACCTTCACACGGTAACCATAGCAACACAGTGGAGGATAGACGCTATCTTTAGTTGACTAGTCATTCAGGAGCCTCGGACTTAGCTTATATTAACGGGGTTTTTTTTTTAAAATGAATTTTTTTAACCAACCAGATGTGTAGTTCTACTTTCTTTTTTACGCCAGTATATTATGTTTATTTCCAGACCGAAGACACCCACCGTCCCTCAAAAGAGTAGCGGTAAAGGTGAGAATTTATTATCAAACAACGTTCCTTGATAAAGCGGTGGTAGCCTTTTGAACGCTCGCTTTTCTCGCAGTGTACCCGGGTTCGATTCTCAACATGAATACCAGAACACCTGAAGTGTTCTATTGAGACTCTTGCCAAAAGCGACGTAAACTCAGGCACTCAGTTTGAAAAACAGACTAATGTGTTTGAACAACGTCACCCAACTGTTAGATTTCTGCGTGAACAACTCGCTTTGTGTTAGTGATCCTGTTAAGTGAGTAAGTGAGTTGAGTTTTACGCCGCACTCGGCAATATTCCAGCTAAATGGCGGCGGTCTGTAAATAATCGAGTCTGGACCAGACAATCCAGTGATCAACAGCATGAGCATCGATATGCTGTTAAGTACACACTCGACATGTAAAGCTGTGAGTACTCTCCTATCCCCCGCTCGCCCTGAATTTTTCATTACAACGTGAAATAAGAAATAATTTTATCTTATATTTCCCATGGCGCTGTAGAAATGTTACCCCGATGTGATGAAACAAATAGTTTTCCCTCGGACAAACCAAGTTCACACATGTCATCGTATCCCAGGTGCGGAAATCGATGCTCATGCTGTTGGCCACTGGATTGTCTGGTCCAGACTCGATTATTTAGACCATCGCCGTACAGCTGGAATATTGCTATAGTGCGTTTGGCTCAAAAGCGGACCGATGAATTGCAATCTAACTCGAAAACTAATAAACATATAATACTCAATGAAACACTGATCCTAATCAAAACATCAGACCAACTCTGTCATTTGTTTGCAGAATTTATGTCCTAAAATTAAAAAAGTTGTTTAACAAACAATCATTAAAATATAGACGCAGTTCACTATTTCTTACGAGGGAGGAGTGCAGAGAAAGGGACAGCCAGGTTTTAGAGAAGCACGTGCACAAGTGCCGACAAAGTTATTGATTCATTAACCTGTGCTGTGCCGTCTCCATCCTTTCTCGCACACCTGGCTGTCCCTTTCTCTGCACTCCTCCCTCGTAACAAATAGTAAACTGTGTCAATATTTTAATGATAGTTTGTTAAACAACTTTTTTATTTTGAGGACATAAATTCTGCAAAAAAGACACAGAGTTGGTCTGATGTTTTGATTATGATCAGCGTTTCATTGAGTATTTTATGTTTATTAGTCTTCGAGTTTGATTGCAATTTATCGGTCCGCTTTTGAGCCAAACGGACTATAAGTGCGGTGTTAAACAACAAACAAACAAACCCAAACCAGGTTAGCTTAATTATTCTTGATCTGCCTTATTAAAAAATGTTTCCGAAACAAAGTTACTCGATCCACATCGCAGAATAATTTGACTCTTATGTAAATTCTAAACTTCTAAACAATTGGCACAAATGGGTTTTTAAATATATTTGTTAATTTTGTATTTTCGCCCGCTTGCTCTATGAAAAATATGGACAGCCTTATTCCGATTTGTCTGACGTTGAAGTTTAAGGTCATTGAATTGAATAGAAATGGTCCCCCGATTACCAGGAAGTGATTACTTGAAATGGGACTGTTACCTATAACGACAGTCAGGGAACGCTAAATTATTAACTGTGTATCTTCACCTTTCAGTGTTTCCCCGAGAAACTACCCTGGAGAGAGGGATCCAGGATGACTCGGGAAAGCCCTTTGAAGATGATCTGTAAGTATGTGTACCGTGAAGATTCGGGTTAGATTATTGATCTTCAGTAACCCATGCTTATCGTAAGAGGCTACTAACGGGATCGGGTGGTCAGGCTCGCTGACCTGGTTGACACATGTCATCGGTTCCCAATTGCGCAGATCGATGATCATGCTGTTGAACACTGGACTGTCTGATCCAGACTCGATTATTTACAGACCGCCGCCACATAGCTGGAATATTGCTGAGTGCGGCGTAAAACTAAACTCACTCACTCACTGTAAGTATGTATTTATTCGAACTGTGCGTACAGTGAAGTACGTTTATAACGAACACGCTTTAACGAACTGACTGATATAACGAACTATTCTTGGGTCCCTGGCGCAACATATTCTGTTCGCAATATGTATAAAGAACTACTGTTATAACGAATTCGAAGGGACCACAAAATTTAGTTCACTGTAACGGTAGTTCGTTATACACTTTTCAAATAGAACATATCTTCATTGACAGTACTGAAAAGACCATGGGCCTATAGTACATTGTATATACAGTAGCAAAGGGTGCAATAGAAATGAATATATCGTAAATAATATCACATCTGTTATGCAGAGGATATTCATTTAATGGTATATATAAACATTGCAAGATACTTTGTGACTGTTTAATTTTGAGATAACATGAGGGTATAGAATTTGTCTATTCGGGGGTTCAAATAGAAATATTTCTTTATGTATTCTTTTCTGATATTCTCACACAATGGACAAACAAGCAAGAAAGTAACTTATTGTTAAAACATAGTGAAGAGTACCACTTTTGAAAATACATATCTTTTAGTCTTTGCCTTAAATCATATATGAAATGCTCTGGTGCTGTTACATTTTGTTCTCTACAAATGTGATCATACACGCTGCATACGATACAACAATGTTAGCGTTGACGTTCAGCGATCTGTGCTGGTGCCTTCAATCAAGTAGTTGTCTGGTCCTGATTCCAATATCAACACTGCGCCTGTAAACAACATTCACTCATCCATTCTCTTGTGACCCCGGGTGTGGCAGCATCTATGGAGCTCCTAGGTTTCGCTTATTTTGGGGGTTTCTCCCTAATAAGGCAGCACAGGTGCTGCAGGCGACACAGTTCGCCGTGAGCAGTGCTTGTGGGTTTCCTCCAGGGGTAATCCTCTGATCTTCTCTTAAATACTGTTCATAGCCAACCTGACACGTGAAGAATTGGTCTTCTGTAGCCCATGCCTGTCGTAAGAGGCGACTAACGGGATCGGGTGGTCAGGCTTGCTGACTTGGTTGACACATGTCATCCTGTCCCAGTTGCGTAAATCGATGTTCATGATGTTGATCACTGGATTGTCTCCAGACTCGATTATTTATAAACTGCCATCACATAGCTGGAATATTGCTGAGGACAGATTTAAACAACACACAACTGTATAGTGTTCAAAGCAGGGTTAAAAGCAACTCATTCGCTTCAAACAAGTACAGCTGAAATTGACGCCCCTTGCTCACTGCCATGTATAAAACCTTTGTATTTCAGAGAACACCATTTCCTTCACAAATAACCAAGGAAAGACCTTCACCCAACGATGTCGAAATAAAAGGGACATGCCAACAAAACGCATGTGGCCATGTAAATGATATGGATGAATACACTACGTGGGCAATAAAAGATCAATAGAACCGTCCAAGATGTTATTCCATTTAATTAATAACCATCTTACCATCCAGTAATGGAATGCCAGACCCCCTGTTGTTAAGCATGTACCAGGTTGTATATAACAGTAAATTGACAGCAGCGCACAGCTGGCCGAGATAATGTGTTGATACATTTCATCAATGTTTTCTTGTTTCTTTACCTTTTTAGCTTTTATAACAGCCTGAATCCTGACACATTTAAAATGTTGTAACTATAATAATAATTGTGACAAATATATTTTTCATTTACATGTACAGTACTTTTGTCACAATATTGTAAAATTTGTAAAACAATTAATGCTTATGTTTCTGCGGTTTTTAATATTGACCTACACTTTATCATTGGTTGAATTTGCTTGATTTTGTGATCTCTTGTTGTATATTTTGTTTAAGTTCAAAATGAAAATGCCAGTTGCACATAAAACAAACTTTATTATTTCTATTCTGCCGTTTTATAAATACGTAATATTTCATAGCCATCAGTAGATTAGAAGATATGTCAAAAGGCCGACTTCAATCCCCATATTGAAGAAAATATATAATAAGTATTTGAAAAATGTTATTTAATGGTGATTACATTTTGTAACTGTGTATATTTTTGTATTATTTTGTATTAAATACAATTATTTATACCAACAGCTTATACTGTTCTTTTAACTTTATCGTGTCCGGCTTGTATATTGTGAAGACCTGTTCACCAGCCAATGTTTGAGGCTTGTATTGTGAAGACCTGTTCACAAGCCCCATTTAAACAGTGTAAATATTGACGTCCCCTACAGTCCATCGACCTTACTTTAGGCACCCAGATTTTTATCGATTAAATTTGAGTGAAAATATTTTTATATCATGAAAATTAGATATGCACTATTTGTATCCTTGACCTAACCAACTGAAGCTTCTTCCTTCGTTATTATCATGTAGATTCCTGATCAGCATCAAACTGGTCTTCAGCTTACGCTCATGCTTATGATCACTGTTGATTGGCAAATATGTAAAATCCCAGTTTAATATTGCTGAGGGATATTTCTCTTCGACCACATGACAGTAACGTATACTACGGGCAACTATTGAGTGAGTTTAGTTTTACGCCGCTTTTAGCAATATTCCAGCAATATCACGGCGGGAACACCAGAAATGGGCTTCACACATTGTACCCATGTGGGGAATCGAACCCGGGTCTTCGGCGTAACAAGCGGACGCTGTAACCATTGGGCTACCCCACCACCCCCGCAATATACAGTGCCGTATTGCGTCCTACACTCTGGTGGGGAACAAAGGTCTTGGGTTCGAATCCACGGTCCTTCCCTTTTATGTTTAAACCGACTTGTCTTGATGTAAACTGAAAGAAATCTCGGAAAACAATTTTGAAGCTTACTCTCTGAGTTTCAAATTCGATGGTCAAGCGAATCTTATGTCGCAATGTTTTATATAACTACTCCGCCAGAACAGAACACAGATTTAATGATTAAAAAAATATTGTTTTTGAGATGACCCCCGACTCGAAATGCTTCACAGTACAATACATTATGACAAGGGTCATGTACTGTGAAGCATTTCGAGTCGGGAGTCATCTCAAATTTTTATATATTTTTTACAAATCTTTAATCCTCGCAACGACACGAGGGCCTGTGGAACAGAATACCAAGTTGAATGTGTGTTTTTTCTCAAATCACCAAAATAGCTACAAACACAACTATTACAGCGTATATTTATTAACCTATAATAACGAATATCTAGATATGGATTTACACGGACAAATAAAACAGGAAGAAATGTGAAGAACAATGTGCTTATTTGTTCATTGTAATAAGTGTTTAGGATGCAAACACATACACTACATAAGTAGATATAAACAAAATCCTAAACGGGAAACACATTTAATGCGTTCTGTCAAAACACTCTCTTAATGCAAACCCCGTTTAGTTTTTATACATGCTTTTTTCCCACATTTTGGCCCAGAAAACGTTTAGCGCCAAGACAGGTTTATATACACCTAAACCCGTTAACAATATGGAACATGGATGTGTTTAACATCGAAACACAGTTTTTATAGTGTGAAGTGCCTATCTACACACAAAAGCATGCTCAAAGCGTAACAGGGATTTTACCCATTTAAACGTGCACTTGATTTTCTCAAGCTACCTGTGAAACATGTTTTACTGTCACTTTACGATCTCGTCCTACCGGGTACCCATTAACTGCTGGCAGGAAGAAAATCGCTTTCCCACGGAGACACTAGGTGTCCACCCACCAACGACTCGACCAACCCTACGCTATGGAGTATATAAATGTTATGTGAATACGTATTTGTAGTGGTGATATTGGCGATCGTTGATATGCTACTCAACACTTGGAAAGGATAGTGATGTACTTCCTCTTGTTTACTTTTAATAAGCTGAATGTACTCCATTTACCTGATATGATCTCCAAGCATCCAATCACACTCAGTTTACATCCCACACTCTGAATATCCCTATCGAATGTTGTGTAGTATAAACTTGATTAAACCCGTTTCTGAAACGCTTTCTGGTACATGAAAACCTGCTGCAAGAAAATGTAAATGTTTTTTGTCAATTACAATTCTATACGAAGTTGAGGGAGAGCTGGATTCCCAACCTCTTCAAATTGACGATTTGTTGGTAAGATCATGTGACCGAACTGCTTCAGCCAATCAACAAGTGGGCTATAGCCGTCATTTTGCCATGAATTGAGTAGCCATGGAAACCACCGGAAAGGCGCTGTGAACGCATGCGCAATATGATGGTCGATAGAGGAGTAACACGAAGCAAAGACGCCATCAACGAGAACTGTTCCTTCATCTGTAAGTGGCACATACACGCCTAGAAATGAACGAAATAGAAATGTGTAAAATTGATAATGTGCCAGTGGTAAAAGTATGTGTAAATATGAAACGTTTACACCCGAGAATAAACAATCTGGATTATTCGGGGAAACAGATTCCATTTAGAGTAAATGCAAACTCGACGTGACAAATATATCAGTGAATCACCGGGGTTCTCCCTCGCCATGTCCCGTCCAGCCAGCCAATCACACGATTCGTCCGTGACGGCTGGGTAGTCTAGTGTTTGAGCGCAATAGTGCAGTGATAAAGCGTCTGCCTGTCACGCTGAATGCCCCTGTTCGATCCCCTTGGAGGCACATAGGTTCGGGTCCCAAGGTAGGCACATTTGCGTACAATCATTGGACAAGATACTTGAATCCACACTGTCTCAGTTCACCCAGCTGTAAAATGGGTACCCGTGAGGATGTGTTGGCAATGCGAGAGATTAGTTCATTGCTCCTAGCAGGCAGCATGACTGTATGATCCCCAGGGAGTTAAAAAGTATCAGATAGTACGATGGTCCACCATGACCGGGGATAGTAATGTACGTACCGCCGTGAGCAGGTAATGGGCCTGGATATGAGCGCCATATACGTGGACTATTATTATTGTTATACAATTACTATTATTTACAGCGTTCGTTCGTAGACCCGGGTTCGAGTCCCCACATGGGTACAATGTATGAAGCCATTTCTGGTATCCCCCGCCGTTATATTGTTGGGATATTGCTAAAAGAGGCGTTCAACTCAACTCAACTCACTCACTCACTCACAATAGATTGTTTATTGTCGCCCTTACCTTCTTTCACAACCGGCTGAATGTCAGTGACCAGGGTTGGACACAGAGGCTGCCCACACGTCCCCGTTGAGAACAGGTAGTCCCCTGGCTTCACGGTCAGCGCGAACCTGGACAGAGAGGATGACGTCACATGGGAGGCGATTATGAACCTGGGCCTAGATTTTCGAAGCTCTCTTAGCGCTAAGATAGTCGTAAGTGCCATACATTAACATTAACTTACGACTATCTTGGCGCTAAAGAAGCTTCGAAAATCTAGGCCCAGATCCTAAAGCATTCGTAGCACTATGCTATTCAAAAGCCTTATAAGGTATAGAGTTACGACTGGTCGTAACTTTACGAATGCTTTGTGGATCGGGACCCTGTATGCCTTTACAAATGCAGACAACCCATGTTATCTGTTAAACAGGTATTTAGATAATTATCCTTATCATGTTGGTCAGTTGTAAGATAATTATCGCATTTAATGATCGCGGTTCAGATTTGTAAAATGATGGTGATGATATGCCACCAGGTTCTGTCTGTTTCGCCATACACCGCCGGTGTGAATCGATGCTCATGCTATCAATCACCAGTTAGCGTGGCACGATTGTTTTTATGCCGTTGTGATATAGATTCAATGTTGCGTCTTAACACATCATTGGGTCAAAGGGCGTCGTTCCACAAAGCGAGGGGCGGTGGGGTAGCCTAGTGGTTAAAGCGTTCGCTTGTCACGCCGAAGACCCGGGTTCGATTCTCGACATTTTGCACAACGAGTAAGACTTTGCGTCGCATCATCATTATTTAAGCCATACAGCGACGAGGGATGCACAACGAAAGTTATATATCTATGTCAAATAATGCAAGTAACGATCATCTTAGTACTAAGATCACTATGTGGAACGGGCCCTAGTCGACCTCTAGTTTCATCTTTTTAGTTCCACTAACACGAGTCCGTCGGTCATACAATAAACTAGGGGCGGTGGGATAGTCTAGTGGTTACAGCGGTCGCACGTCACGGTGAAAGACCCGGGTTCGATTCCCCAGATGGGTACAATGTGTGAAGCCCATTTCTGCTTTCCCCCGCCGTGATATTGCTGGAATATTGCTAAAAGCGGCGTAAAAACATTCTCACTCATGACTTTTTGTTATGAGTATTGTACAATTCGAGAAGAAAAAAAGACACTTCGAGAAAACCTTTGACCAGATCAATCATGGACATTTTTGATCAGCTGTTTATTGGAAAATACGCTATGTAAAATTCCAAGTTTAACATTGCCTACGGATATTTCTCTTCGACCACAGTAACGTATACTAAGTGAGTGAGTATGGGTTTACGCCGCTTTTAGCAATATTCCAGCAATATCATGGCGGGGGAAACCAGAAATGGGCTTCACACATTGTGCCCATGTGGGGAATTGAACCCGGGTCTTTGGTGTGACGAGCGAACGCTTTAACCACTTGGCTACCCCACCGCCCCTGTATTCAGACTAAGGGAAACATTTTGTAATTTATTTGTAGTATTGCTGTGTGACATTTAACTCTTACTAAATTGACGTTGAATTTACAGCTATTCATTGCGATCATTATACTATTATCGCACCGTGAGCATGGCATTCCGATCGTGACAGCTCGTAAATTACCGTGGTAGCATGCTGTCAGTGTTGTTGCTTGTAGCGACGAAAACAAGATGGCGCCCGGAGAGAGTCAGGCTTGGCCCACTTGCCGTGGATATCGTCAGGTAGAGGGCGCTCTTTGCTGGCTGACGTTTCAGAAAGGTTTTCACCTCGGTGAAGCTCACCTGGCCATTGGCAACTGGACAAACAAAAATCAGGTTCATTGAGTACTTCAGTCTCAAATATCTCAAATAGCTACAAGATCATGAACACGAGATATTGATCCAGATGATGTAACCTTATAGATATCCAAGTTAGAATTGATCTCCAGCAAGCCCATCCTCGATAATCTCTAGGGTATACGTTACGATCAATCTCCACTATACCCTGGATGCATCCACGGCTGGCTTTTTATCCAATCATGTGTCTACGCTGGGAAGTTGAGCGTACCAAACACAACTCACTGTCGCTTCTTAAATGATCTAACCGTTTAAACTTGGCAACAAAATTGATGTAAAGGTACTCTGAAAGAGGTAGAAGGAATTCTTTCACATATTTTTTTAAAGTTTCAGATCTGTCAATTTGTATTATTTCCCCCAAAATCTGAGTGGCACTGCGAACAAACCTTCGCGACTGCGACCGCTATCTTTGCATTCGTCACCACTCGCCTCTTTTCCGTAACCTCCAAGATGATCGGCTTGTCCCGGAATAACACGAGTTGGTCACGAATGCTATCTTTGTTCATTCGTCACCACTCGCCCCTTTCCGTAACCTGCAAGAAGATATTTGGCTTGTCCCGGAATAACACGAGTTGGTCACGAATGATCTTTGTTGACACTGGCAAGCTCGGTTGTAACAGCGGCTTAGCTGATTGGCTACTGTGAGAATGCGGAGCCAGCCGTTGATGCATCCAGGGTATAGTGAAGAGTGATCGTAACGTATACCCTGCAGATTATAGAGGATGAAGCTACCCATGCTTGTCGTAAAAGGTGACTAACGGGATCGGGTGGTCAGGCTCGCTGACTCGGCTGCATGCCATCTCATCCCAAGTGCTTATATTGACGCTCATGATATTGATCACTGGATCATTTACTGACCGCCGCCATTTAGCTGGCAGATTGCTAGGTGCGGCGTTAAACAAAATACAAAATAGGTGATACAAATATGTTATAGACGAGGAAGTCCAGCATTTCTCACGTTGTAAAGTAAACAGTTTAGGTGACATTGTTTAGGTGACATTGAATAACAGAGACGAAATCATATATGGACAGTTCCCACATAGGGAAACTGTAGCGCAAATAATGGTGTGCTACAGAAAGAAATATGACCGGTCTTCCTATCCCTCGCATATAGAAAGACTGGCCATTTTTCTCTCTGTTGCGCAACACTATTTGCGCTGCAGCTTGCCTATGGTTCACGTATTGTGGCAAATACCCCACGTATCAGAATGTAGTTTATGCTTAGGTTTGCGGTGTGGGATAATGTTGTACAAAACTGAAAAACAATAAAACATACTTTGACTGTCAATGCAACTTGGGCAACGTATGATTCCAGTCATATGACAAAACAGTCCATTGTAGTTGTGTCGAATTAGACCAACATAAATACTTCGAGTTATCAGAGGTTCGACACAAATGATGATTGCTGAGGAATGTACGCGAACACAGTTTAACTTCACGACACATCAATGTTCGAGACAACGACGTTTGAATACAATAATCCATGTCTGTCGGTTCAGCAGCGAGTGAGTTTAGTTTTACGCCGCACTCAGCAATATTCCGGCTATATGGCGGCGGCCTGTAAAAAATCGAGTCTGGATCAGACAATCCAGTGATCAACAGCATGAGGATCGATCTACACAATTGGGACACGATGATACGTGTCAACCAAGTCAGCGAGCCTGACCACCCGATCCCGTTGGTCGCCTCTTGCGACAAACATGGGTTCAATCGTATTTACAGGTGTCGACATATAAGTGTATCGAAAATGTGCCTTAAAATAGCATTCACTCACCCCAAGACAACTGCCCACCACTGTCCCATTCCACATCCATATCATGTACCTGTTTTCACCTTGTGCCCCGCTCTGAGGTTCTTCATTGGGATATCAGTGCCATCCTCCAGTGTAAGTGTGGCGTCACCGGGGAAACAAACCTGGTTAGTCCAGGGACAGGGGCAGCACTCCCAGTCGCTGTTGTGCACCCTACTACGACAGCGACATTCGCACCGCTTCCGGACGGATAGGACATCCTCCTCCTGGATCACACAGACCTTAAACTATAGGGCCTCATTCTCTCCCCACAGAGGTTACTTGTCATATCTTCCTGCAACCTCTGTTCTAATACGGTCATATTTCCCGGTTCTCGTAAAATCCCCTAGCGGCAAAAACCTGCAACACGAATTACCTCCCTTCTTTCTATCCAATCAGAACACGTGTTATATCGATGCAAGTAAAAATGGGGCCTCAAATATCCCTCTTCTCTGCCGGGGACTTGTGTTGATGTGACACATAAGACATTTAATGGCAAGCTTGTCAGTTGTCAACGAGGGCGATGGTGACGCCATTGATCCGCCATTACATGACTGAGTTCTGTCTAGAAGTAACGTTTGCGTATCGCGCAGGGGAAGAGGTTCAAGTTTTTCCGAAGCATACGGAAATTACCGAGTCCTTGCGAATGATCACTTTTGAAACAACGTCGCTGATTGCACAACTAAATCTGATTGCAACCAATCACGAATTCTGAACTCTCGCACCATGAAAGGGCCGTATTAGAACAAAGGTTCGTAGGAAGATATGACAAGTAACCTCTGTGGGAAGAGAATGATAGGGCCTGTGTTGGTCATGGCACTTCGCGAATCCTTAGTACTTCCGGTGACGAACAACGTTTCATACCTTTTCGAATTGTCTCAGGGTTGTCAGTTGACAGTAAGTAACCGATACTCCTTGCAGGAAAAACAAATTTCCGATCTAACCATCCCCAAATTAGCCAACTATTACGACTGTCAACAGCTGTGACAGCCAAGCATTGTTGTACTCTTGGTACCGGTCTAGTAATGTCATGTTTGGTGGTCGCGCACTTTTGAAACAGAACTGGTTCTTGAATATACGATTGTCACCGGAAATCAGGCTAGACTTACGGGCTCTATTTAAGTGCCGCGATACAGAGGCAGTAATTGAACTTAATTTCGCTATTTATATGCAATAAAATACCTACATGAATTTTTTAAGTGATATCATCATATATCATATGGAAATTAGGTTGAAGCGCTGGATGATTGTCCCTGGGAAAACTGAATATGAACTTTAAGGAAATAAGGCCTAGTACTCCATTTCCAGCACTCTTCGTGAGATCAGTGTCAGTTATATCACGGCACTGGGTGTATTGCAATATAATGTTTTATTTTATTTTGACCTTCTTACGGTAAACAAATTCGCCTATTAAGAGATAGGTGACGCTGGAGATATAGAATGGATGGATGGATATAAGCGAACCTGAATGTGATATACGTCCCAATATACCCTCTGTAGTCATATGGCCTCTGTCCAAGTATATCATCTGTGCCCATATAGCCTCTGTCGCAGTATATCATCTGTGCCCAGAGAGCCTCCGTTCCAGTATATCATCTGTGCCCATATAGCCTCTGCCCCGTATATCATCTGTGCCCATATAGCCTCCGTTCCAGTATATCATGTTCCCATATAGCCTCTGTCCAAATATATCATCTGTGCCCAGCTAACCTCCGTTCCAGTATATCATCTGTGCCCAGATAACTTCCGTTCAAGTATATCATATGTGCCCAGATAACATCCGTTCCAGTATATCATCTGTGCCAAGATAACTTCCGTTCAAGTATATCATCTGTGCCCAGATAACCTCCGTTCCAGTATATCATCTGTACCCAGATAACCTCCGTTCTAGTATATCATCTGTGCCCAGATAACCTCCGTTCTAGTATATCATCTGTACCCAGATAACCTCTGTCCCAGTATATCATCTGTTCCCAGATAACCTCCGTTCAAGTATATCATATGTGCCCAGATAACCCCTGTTCCAGCATATCATCTGTGCCCAGATAACCTCCGTTCCAGTATATTATCTGTGCCCAGATAACCACCGTTCCAGTATATCATCTGTTCCTAGACAGCCTCTGTCTCAGTATACCAGTAATGTCCTATGAAGCGCTACGCTGACAGTTGAAGCCTCCTTACCTCTTCGTCTTGTTCAACATCTCTCTGTAGAATCAGCTCCTTGTTGGGCCCGTGGCGCAATCGTAACCGAGCTGTCACAACAGAAGCATAAAATTATTCATAACCAGAGAACCATAGGTACAGAAGCTCACCTTATCAAGTGTTACGTCAACTCGGAGGTGCTGATGCCTAATCTGGTTACTTGGTATACAGCCATGCTGTGTACACGTATTACAGCTGATTAAAACTATAAAATCCAATACACATGGACACAACGCGGTTTAGTTTTCTCTAACATTTATTGACATCCTTTTGTATGATTATAAAACTGGCACTTTGTTTTCTATGCTGACCAAAAAGTCAAATTGTACAGTCACATTTCCGTTTTATATTGTAATATATGCATCATGATTCATGTGAAATTTTTTTTAAAATATATCAGCAGTAACATGAAAAAGATAGAGAAAACATATCTATAAAACAGAACATATACTCCAATAATTTCGTTGAACATATTTAAAAATACAGACTAATATATTGCTGAAAATTGCTTTAACCTAAACACATCGCCTATGTGTTGTTAACTGTGTCATGGGTGGCACAATCGTCTAAGGCGCCCCCGGCGAAGAGTTGCGTCCCTTGGGCAAGCAAGGAACCTATGATTGTAGGTTTGAAACCAGGTTCGTCCCAAATATGTTTCTGGACTTGTATACACCATACCCATGCCTGGGTTTCACCGAATGATACACGTCTGAAACCTGCACCAGTTCGGGATTTTCTATCACATTGAGCTGATGCGCCCGGATAGAACTGGAACACGGTGGCGGCGTAAAACTTAACTCACTCACTCAAATGATAATGAAGATAAATACTGATACAAATTATACAAGCACATTTGAGAGGGGTTTTAAGTGACTGCTTCATCGGCTTCTGCGTGCAATTAGGTCACCTTGTTATCACTGGTGCGGTGGGATAGCCTCGTGGTTAAAGTGTTGGCTCATCACGCCGAAGACCCGGGTTCGATTCCCATATGGGTGCAATGTGTAAAGCCCATTTATGGTGTCCCCCGCTGTATTATTGCTGGAGTATTGCTAAAAGCGGCGTAAAAATAAGCTCACCCAGTCACTCTAACTCACTCATCACGCAGAAGACCCGGGTTCGATTCCCCACATGGGTACAATGTGTAAAGCCCATTTCTGATCTCCTTCACCGTGATATAGCTGGAATGTTGCTAAAATCGGCGTAAAACCATACTGACTCAGCTACTCATCCCGAATATATGTCTACTCACGATAACTGCTTGCTCCCTCCACACAACCTGGAACTGGAATCAAATTATCATCAACGAAGCCAAACACAAACTTGCACTGCCGTGCACTATACAGAAGTTATCCATGATACTTATTATTCGTGCATTGAGATAGCCTCTTTATACAACCTTTCAAAATATTCTAGACACGCTTGTGGATGTATTCCGTCAAAGTGGATCTCAACACATTCCGTCAAAGTGGATCTCAACATTCAACAATGATACCCGAAGTGTGATGTATACAGAATATGTGACGATGTTTGAAGCTGAAAGATGTTGGAGTCTTTACGATAACAGCCATTTACACAATGTTTATCTATCAAAATGTGATATTTCACCTATGCGATAAACAAGGGTAGATGGCAAAATATTGACCATGAATATAATGTCCTACAGACCTGTAAACATCATATATTTTTCTGAAAGAAATATGGTAAATTTCAACATTGTATATTTAATTTTTCAGAGAATTCAGAAAGATGTATTAAAATGTATGCCGTTTCAGGCATATTTTGCAATAAAACAATGACATTTACCAGTCGCCGTCATATACATATGGAAAATAATTAAGTACGATATCGGTCGACAAGTGAGGTGAGGTGAGGTGAAATTGGGTTTAACGTCGTACTTGAGAATATCTCGCTCATATGACGACGTGCATGCGTGTGTATGTGTATGTGCGGCTGCTTGTACTAGCCCAGACTTAAGCTGGTTTTATAGTGCTAGCCCACTGAGATACCATGCCACAGTGAAGCATGAATACCCCACTCAGACACATTATACCGACTCCGAGCAGACCAGTCCTTGTTGTACCCATTAATGCCGAGCGCCAGGCAGGGACCAACAAGTACCATATTTTAACGTCTTTTGGTATGACGCAGTCGGGAATCGAACCCGCGACCTTCCGCTCTCCGGGCGGACGCTCTAACCACTACACCACGGAGGCGGTCCCGGTCGACAAGGGCTAAATAACAACATAAAACTGGACAGCTCTGATGCAATTACATATGATGTTTGTTGGTTGTTTAACACTGCACTCAGCAATATTCCAGCTATATGGCGATGGTCTGTAAATAATCGAGTCTGGACCAGACAATCCAGTGATTGACATCATGAGCATCGATCTACGCAATTGGGATACGATGACATGTGTCAACCAAGTCAGCAAGCCTGACCCCCGTTCCTCAAAGTCAACTCTTACGACAAGCATCAATTGCTGAAGATCAATTCTAACTCGGATCTTCTCGATGCAAATAAAAATGATATTTACAAGCCACTGTGGTTCTGAGTACGACATTAGTCAAGTGCGAAAAAAAACCCACAAAACTGGACATCACTAATGTAACATATGAAAACACGATGGCACAGAACAGATATTTGTCAACGCGATCAACTTACTGTGCACCATTAGCAGGAACCACGCCAACACGCTGCAGCTCTTCATGGCTGGATGTGAGGTTTGAGGATGCTTCTATTCAATCCCGGGCATCACCGGCATCAGTGTAGATTATCATTGCGGACTATCAGTTGCACATAACGGTTACTGTCCTTCCTCCGGATGTATCTTGACATTTATAAAGGTCAGTGGTGACAGAATTGTTTCTATAAACTGAGCTGCATATGTCGACGTTGCTGGTTTTATTTTTTTTTTATTTAGTTGTTGTTTAACGCCGCGCTGTTTGTAGATTTGTAGATATGTGGCAACGGTCTGTAAATATTCGCGTCTAGACCAGCAATCCGGTGATTGACATCATGAGCATAGATCAACGCCACTGGGGTACGATGACATGCAACGAGCCAGGCCCCCGATCCCATCAGTAGGACAAGCATGGGTTGCTGGCCCCGGTGTAGCAGCCCAGAATACCCCCCACCAGATTATACCCCGGGGTAAACTATAGGCTAGCCCAGTTTATACCCCAGGGGTATATTCTGGAGCAGGCCAAAGTATACCCCTCCAGCCCAGACTATACCCCTAAAAAATTATGTTGACAATTCACTCAATATGAGTGTGTGACTCGGGCAATGGTCTTGGTGTCATTTAAAGGAATTTGTAGGTGCATTTCATTAACATTACTGCATAATACAAAATATATTTTGTATTTGTTGAGTGCCTCTCTGCAATATGATATTTTCAACTTTGCGTAACCCAGCCGGGATCATGAAAGTGTCTTAAGTCTGAAAATTGTTCGAACTTTGACTTAAGTTTGTTTGCTTTTTTTGTGTTTTTTTGTTGTTGTTGCTTAGCTAAGACTCGGGCTAAGACTGAATCCTGGCAATGCACGCTCTTCTCAGAATGCTATCAGCATGTACGGGAGTTGTAGTGAAAGAAGACCACCAGGCACCTACACGCACAAAATATTGACTTAAGACACTTTCATGATCCCGTGGCCAGTTCTAACCAAGGGCACCGTTTCACAAAGCTATCGTAGCGCTACGACTGTCGTAAGTCGTATGTTTCAGTATAGGAGGTACGGCAGTCTTTGTGCTTCGATAGCTTTTAGAAACGGGGCCCTGATGTTGAAGAACAGATCCGAGAGGAGTGATAAAGCAATTTTCAGAGCTCAGGCTCTGTGACTCGGTTAATTTGATATCATCTTATCCCGACGGCGTTGATCGTTCATGAATCACCGGATTATCCGGTCAAGACTCCATCATATACGAGCAATATTGCTGAGTGCGGCATTTAAACAAAAATAAACACAACAACAGTGGCGAACATGCACACGTGCTTGAGGTGTACTTTTTAAAACCCAATTACTATAATGCTGACAGACAAATGGCCAATGCTGCTGCTGATGTTGATGAGGTACACATGAGAGTTACTTCCCTTGGTTGTAAACATCTTGATTTTGTCTATCAAGTTCTGTTGGTGATCATTATACGAAGGTGGACATTTCTACAATGATTGTTTTGTTTTTATCAAAGCAGTGTAAATGTGAATTATGAATCCCTAGGAGGGTCTGATGATTCTCCATTGATCAATATATTAAAGTGTGATGAGTAATAATATAAAGTGGCTTACCAATAAATTATGATCATGATAATAGTTCATGTTTGTTTATTGTTCATTAAGCAGCACCTAGCAACATTTCAACCATAGGACGACGGTTCGAGAGTAATCAGGCCTCGACCAGACGATCCAGTGATTGACACCAAGAGCATCCATCTGTCAAGTCCCTTGAAGGTCTGGATTAGAATGTGAATGTGTCTTCACAGCCATGCTTGTCCTAAGAGGTGACTAACCAGATGGGGCTCAGGGTCATGACAGTGAGTGAGTGAGTTCCTTCAGTTTTACTCCGCAATCAGCAATATTCCAGCTATGTGAATAATGGAGTCTGGACCAGGCAATCCAGTGATTGACATCATGAGCATAGATCAACGCCACTGGGATATGATGACATGCAACGAGCCAGGCCCCCGATCCCATCAGGACAAGCATGGGTTGCTGGCCCCGGGATCATGAAGTCTTAAGTCTGAACATTTTGCCCAACATTTGGCCTAGCAAAGTCAATATCATTCTGTTCACACTCACTTCACTTTATAAAAAGCGACAGGAATTCACAGTGCATTTACCTCCCGTGGAATACCAGAAGCCTATGAATCACAGTCCACTCTGTGTAGCTAAAATATAATCTCTGACATTGTCTATAACATTCTTAAGTTCTTTAGTCAGATGATTAAATACAACAAAACAAGATGATAGTTTAATGGTTTTATTGTGTATCTTGTACTGCAAGAGGTAAATAAAATTGAGCACCTTGTAACTAATGTTACATAACATCCTCTCAAAAGAGATAGTGGGTACTGTATGATATCCATGTAGATTTGTATATCAATAGATATAGATACCATATGTAAATACAAAGTTGAGAGCAGATAATCCATTTGAATATTGCATGTCATGACATTCACTGCAAGAGGCCATCATCATCATCAGCAGCAGCAGCATCAGCATCATCTTATTACATCATCATCATCATCTTATTACATCATCATCATCATCTTATTACATCATCATCATCTTATTACATCATCATCATCATCATATTACATCATCATCATCATCATCATCATATTACATCATCATCATCATCATCATCTTATTACATCAGCAGCAGCAGCAGCTGCAGCATCATGTTATTACATCATCATCATCTTATTACATCATCATCATCATCATCATCTTATTACCATGCCAAATGATCATTATCCTATCATTATAGGGCATGATCATTATGATCACCATCAACAAAGCTCACCATTATTCTGCAGATATGTACAGCATCACACAGTCTGCACACTGTCAAGACAACATATCAAACAGCACCAGCTCTAGTGAGGAGTTGATTGATATTACCACATTGTCACAGGACAACTATAACTGTATATTTATCAGTATCATGCAGTCTTGCATATCATACCATCATCAATAAGATCATCACCATTGTAAACCAAGGTTAGCCATCTGAAACATCAGCAGTTGTAGCTGAAAGCACATTTCAGACAGTACAATCTTCAAAATAATAAGGGATTGCTTTAGCACAAACATACATATAGATATACATAAAAGTAACAATATATAACAGAAACAATATTTTGATAAAATTTATGTCATCACATTTTCAAAAAAAAATCTTTGCACTGCTGATAAAACAGTGTAAAAAGCTGGAACAAATATTGTGCAAAATTCTTTCATCCATCCACAACATACCCAGTTGTAATGTTAAGCACATCAAGGCAGTACAAATCTCAATAGAGCGAAGCATTGCTCTGGCATAAATATATATACTCATGCCAATAATGGTTGTCACCCCCCTTCCCACCACACCTCACACCCCCTCACCAATTAAAAAAATTGAATGGGGGTGACAACCATTATTGGCATGAGTATATATAAATACCAATATATATCACAAACAAATAGCACACAATGTTTTGATTAAGTTTATGTTATCACATTGTTCAGAAAATTATTTTATTTACCAATAAAATACTGGAAACAAGCCATATGTGTAAAATATTTCACATTAGAGTGAAACAATCAAAGTTTGGGGGAAAATCCAATATGCATATTCTTAGATACCTGGATAAAGTTAGGACAGTGTGTCCATGTGTAATACTTACAATACAAAGTAATAAACAAATCTGATGTTGTTCACGACTCTCATACAAGGTGATACATGTATTGAAAAAACAGTTTCAAGAAATCTGTAGACAAAAAAAGAGAATGGGACTTACAAACCTGAATAAACCAGAATGACAAAACAAACAAAATATGTCAGAGTAACTGAACCTTGTCATCAGGTGTGACCTCTTCGTGACATGTGCGACCTCTCTGTGTGGCATGTGCGACCTCTGTGTGATCTCTGTGACATGTGCAACCTCTGTGTGATGTGTGACATATGTGACCTCAGTGTCACATGTGTGACATCTGATCAACATCAAGTTCAAACCAATGACCATTGATCATCGCTCAAGCAACTGTAGAAGGTTTGAGAAGAGGGCGGTTAGGATTGAAAGAAACCATTCACCATAGAGCCCCTTCCTACACCTACCTACAGATTTACACTGGCAACAGTCCATCCAAAGGAGGAACTTTAGGTCACTCATCGACCTCACATGTTAGAACATTCCTACCAATGACCATTCATCGTCACTCAAGCAAATCGTAGAAGGTTTGAGAAGAGTGGGGTTAGGTATGAAAAAACCCTTCCCCATTGAACCCTTCCTACACCTACCTACTGATTTACACTGGCAACATTTCATTCAACTTTGAGGTCTCTCATCGACATAACATGTTAGAACATTCCTACCAATGACCATTCATCGTCACTCAAGCAAATCGTAGAAGGTTTGAGAAGAGTGGGGTTAGGTATGAAAAAACCCTTCCCCATTGAACCCTTCCTACACCTACCTACTGATTTACACTGGCAACATTTCATTCAACTTTGAGGTCTCTCATCGACATAACATGTTAGAACATTCCTACCAATGACCATTCATCGTCACTCAAGCAAATCGTAGAAGGTTTGAGAAGAGTGGGGTTAGGTATGAAAAAACCCTTCCCCATTGAACCCTTCCTACACCTACCTACTGATTTACACTGGCACTTGGCACTGGATTTACATCCCAAGGAGGAACTTGAGGTCACAGACTTTTCAGGTTGATGGTCCTACTCTGACTGAAGGTACATTGCTTCCCACCACAGACATTTCAGGTTGTTGGCCCTACTCTAACTGGAGGTACATTGCTTCCCACCACAGACATTTCAGGTTGTTGACCCTAGTCTAACTGGAGGTGTAAATTGCTTCCCACCACAGATATTTCAGGTTGTTGACCATAGTCTAACTGGAGGTACATTGCTTCCCAACACAGACATTTCAGGTTGTTGACCTAGTCTAACTGGAGGTACATTGCTTCCCAACACAGACATTTCAGGTTGTTGACCCTAGTCTAACTGGAGGTACATTGCTTCCCACCACAGACATTTCAGGTTCTTGACCCTACTCTAACTGGAGGTACATTGCTTCCCACCACAGACATTTCAGGTTGATGACCCTACTCTAACTGGAGGTACATTGCTTCCCACCACAGACATTTCAGGTTGTTGACCCTACTCTAACTGGAGGTACATTGCTTCCCACCACAGACATTTCAGGTTGTTGGCCCTACTCTAACTGGAGGTACATTGCTTCCCATCACAGACATTTCAGGTTGATGACCCTACTCTAACTGGAGGTACATTGCTTCCCACCACAGACATTTCAGGTTGTTAGACCCTACTCTAACTGGAGGTACATTGCTTCCCGTCACAGACATTTCAGGTTGTTGACCCTACTCTGACTTGAGGTACATTGCTTCCCACCACAGACATTTCAGGTTGTTGACCCTAGTCTAACTGAGGTACATTGCTTCCCACCACAGACATTTCAAGTTGTTGGCCTTAATCTGAGTGGAGGTACATTGCTTCCCACCACAGACATTTCAGGTTCTTCGCCCTACTCTAACTGGTGGTACATTGCTTCCCACCACAGACATTTCAAATTGTTGGCCTTAATCTGACTGGAGGTACATTGCTTCCCACCACAGACATTTCAGGTTGTTGACCCTACTCTGACTGGAGGTACATTGCTTCCCACCACAGACATTTCAGGTTGTTGACCCTACTCTGAATTGAGGTACATTGCTTCCCACCACAGACATTTCAGGTTGATGACCCTACTCTAACTGGAGGTACATTGCTTCCCACCACAGACATTTCAGGTTGTTGACCCTAGTCTAACTGGAGGTACATTGCTTCCCACCACAGACATTTCAGGTTCTTGGCCCTACTCTGACTGGAGGTACATTGCTTCCCACCACAGACATTTCAGGTTCTTGGCCCTACTCTAACTGGAGGTACATTGCTTCCCACCACAGACATTTCAGGTTGTTGGCCCTACTCTAACTGGAGGTACATTGTTTCCCACCACAGACATTTCAGGTTGTTGGCCCTACTCTAACTTGAGGTACATTGCTTCCCACCACAGACATTTCAGGTTGTTGGCCCTACTCTAACTGGAGGTACATTGCTTCCCACCACAGACATTTCAGGTTCTTGGCCCTACTCTAACTGGTGGTACATTGCTTCCCACCACAGACATTTCAAATTGTTGGCCTTAATCTGACTGGAGGTACATTGCTTCCCACCACAGACATTTCAGGTTGTTGACCCTACTCTGACTGGAGGTACATTGCTTCCCACCACAGACATTTCAGGTTGTTGACCCTACTCTGACTTGAGGTACATTGCTTCCCACCACAGACATTTCAGGTTGTTGGCCCTACTCTAACTGGAGGTACATTGCTTCCCACCACAGACATTTCAGGTTGTTGACCCTACTCTAACTGGAGGTACATTGCTTCCCACCACAGACATTTCAGGTTGTTGACCCTACTCTAACTGGAGGTACATTGCTTCCCACCACAGACATTTCAGGTTGTTGGCCCTACTCTGACTGGAGGTACATTGCTTCCCACCACAGACATTTCAGGTTGTTGGACCCTACTCTGACTGGAGGTACATTGCTTCCCACCACAGACATTTCAGGTTGTTGGCCCTACTCTAACTGGAGGTACATTGTTTCCCACCACAGACATTTCAGGTTGTTGGCCCTACTCTAACTGGAGGTACATTGCTTCCCACCACAGACATTTCAGGTTGTTGACCCTAGTCTAACTGGAGGTACATTGCTTCTCACCACAGACATTTCAGGTTGTTGGCCCTACTCTAACTGGAGGTACATTGCTTCCCACCACAGACATTTCAGGTTGTTGACCCTACTCTAACTGGAGGTACATTGTTTCCCACCACAGACATTTCAAGTTGTTGGCTTTAATCTGACTGGTGGTACATTGCTTCCCACCACAGACATTTCAGGTTCTTGGCCCTACTCTAACTGGAGGTGCATTGCTTCCCACCACAGACATTTCAGGTTGTTAGCACTACTCTAACTGGAGGTACATTGCTTCCCACCACAGACATTTCAGGTTGTTAGCACTACTCTAACTGGAGGTACATTGCTTCCCACCACAGACATTTCAGGTTGTTGGCCCTACTCTAACTGGAGGTACATTGCTTCCCACCACAGACATTTCAGGTTGTTAGCACTACTCTAACTGGAGGTACATTGCTTCCCACCACAGACATTTCAGGTTGTTAGCACTACTCTAACTGGAGGTACATTGCTTCCCACCACAGACATTTCAGGTTGATGCCCTACTTCTTAACTGGAGGTACATTGCTTCCCACCACAGACATTTCAGGTTGTTGGCCCTACTCTAACTGGAGGTGCATTGCTTCCCACCACAGACATTTCAGGTTGTTGGCCCTACTCTAACTGGAGGTACATTGCTTCCCACTACAGACATTTCAGGTTGTTTGCCCTACTCTAACTGGAGGTACATTGCTTCCCACCACAGATATTTCAGGTTCATGGCCCTACTCTAACTGGAGGTACATTGCTTCCCACCACAGACATTTCAGGTTGTTGACCCTAGTCTATCTGGAGGCACATTGCTTCCCACCACAGACATTTCAGGTTCTTGGCCCTACTCTAACTGGAGGTACATTGCTTCCCACCAGACATTTCAGGTTGATGGCCCTACTAGGACTTGGGGTACATGGATTCCTACCATACATTTCAGGTTGTTGGCCCTACTCTAACTGGAGGTTCATTGCTTCACACCACAGACATTTCAGGTTCTTGGCCCTACACTAACTGGAGGTACATTGCTTCCCACCACAGACATTTCAGGTTGATGGCCCCACTCTAGCTGGGGGCATAGTGCTTCTCAGCACAGTCATTTCAGGTTGTGGGTCTTAATCTGACTGGAGGTACATTGATTACACAGACATTTTGAGGACAAGTCTCCCTTTCACTTGCACTGTCCCATGCCTCTTTTGTACTTAATAACAACTACCGTACTGTATCGTCCCATCTTTGACCTGGATTTGAGTGAACATTTCTTCAATCATCTACAGCTTCTTACATGATAGTGACTTTGTGAACAACATCAGAAATAATGACAATTACTTTGAAATTAATTCCTCTCTGATGCTTTAAGGTTCAAAATGTGGTCAATACAAATACATCATATCATTTTAAATAGAATGTACTGTGCAGGTATCCTAGTATATGCATATATATTGATCAAAATATATTGATAAAGAGGACTGAGATGACTGTACCTTGTTAATCACACAATCAATGTGCATCATAAAAAATATTGCCTATTCTGATCCAAACCATTCCACCAATAAATCACATCAAAAATCAAATATACCCATATCATTATATACTATCAAAGAAATATCACTGATGAAATAGCATTGTTCCAATAAGAACAGTAAACAATATATCCATGTCAAAACAAATCAACAAATATAAAAACATACGCAGTTCCAAATCGTTGTCGTGTTCATAGCCAGGTCGTTAGGGAAATCCATCAGTAAACATATCTAAGATTTCTTACTTTCCATCAGTACCCTTCTTGGAGGATTTCTTCTTCAAGAAGGAGTGTTTGCCTGTCAACTTAGTTGTGGTGATCAGCTGTTCAGGAAAGAAGCCATATTTCTTCTTCTTAATCAGCTTCCCCTTCTTAATGTATCCATATGCTCGGCCATCAGGAGCAGATTCGCGGTCACTGATGTAAATCTTTTGTCCTGCAAAATTCAAAACAAGGAAAATTGAAATGATCTGTAATACATCTAGTTCATGTTATATCAATCAGGAGCAGATTCTTCATCACTGATGTACAATTCAAACCAAGGAAAAATAGATCATTGGGCCTTTGCTCCACACTAGAAATCATGTACAATACTTGTAGATCAAATGTTCATTATTAGCAGATTCCTCATCACTGATGTCATCCTCTTTTGTTGAAGATGAAAATGATGCTTCAAATATCAATCTTCATTGGCTCACCACTTACGTTACTCATTGAACATTCTCTCACTCTCCTTAATGAAATGAACATGTGTAACACAGTCAGATGTAATTACGGTAATGAATAATGTTACGTCTATCAACTTACCTGCTTTGAATGTCAGTTCATCCTCTGAGCGAGCAGTGAAGTCCTTCAGAGCATACACTTTGACCTTCTTGCCTGCTGCTGACTTCATGCTCTCTTGGGGTCTGAAGATTGGGTCATTGGAAGTGTTGGACTCACTGTCTGGGTGTCAACATCAGAGTCAGAGTCCGCTGAAAGAGGAAGCGATAGTGACGTTTCAGCCTGACTGTGTTTATGACCTTGTTCAGGTTTGGTAAATTTCAATTTTAATATATAACTAGAAACAAACTCAACATCATTCACAAATTAGAAGTCCTAAGTCATATTAAACAAGTCCACATGTTAAACAGTCCTGGAAGATGTTGAAGGGAACATGTTGTCCCTCAGGAATTGGACCACTAAGCTGTGTCCTTGTCTAACACTGTCATTCACTGATCAGTTCTGTTGGGTTTGTATGCACACAATATCCGTACAATGATCTATATCTTCAGTATTCTCAGGTGATCAGGACGATGTATTACCAGATTCACCTTGCCCACCTTTTACGCGTCATCCAACCTGAAGCTCACATTTCTTGCAATGGTAGCTGGAAGCAGGAATTTCTTAGCCACTGCAGTTTGTCATTTCTAACTGAAATATGCTACATTATATTCAGTGAGATTAAACACTAACTTACTCCAACCTCCTGATAAGGACAAGAAAGTATACTTACAGAGGCCCTTGTAATTTTCCACTATGGTCTCCTTGATGACAGGAGCTCTATATGTTGTTGTCTCCATCACAGCGTTGGGAATCTCAACATCAGGTGGTTGGGATGCAGTCACCAGCCTTGGGGTAGTGACAGGTATGGGACGGGAATGCTTCCATGAGTCTGAAGAAATATACAATCCATTCAGACTGTGGATAAAAACCCTCCTGTTGAAAATCAAATGTCTCCAAGTACCTTGGGATTGCAATGTAAAGTGAAAATACTGATCACCAAGTGCAAGTAGGTTTCTTCTCCTTAAATCGAACCCTGTCATGTACAGGACACAAATAATCCTGTTGCCTTTACCTAAGCCGATAGTACTCACCCTCATTGTGATCTGAATCTGAATCTACCCCGGTCTGTACAAACACAGCTGTGTTGTCTCTGGCTGGCAGGATTTGACTGTAAAACACATACATCACCAACTCAGGAACAGAACAAATGACAGAGTGCTGATGCCTTTCACATTTTCTACAACAGCAATTCCTTAATTTCTAACAGTATTTTCAGAGGTTCCCTGGACAGGTATACACCTTGAACAAGGCAGAGCAGCATTTATTCTGAATGAATGTTCTCACAGATGACTGAAAGTTTACACCAATGACTGAATGTTTATACAAAAGACTGAAAGTTTACTGCCAAACATTCACAACTATTGCCAGACATCAGATGGGACTCAGATCATCAATAAATGATACCCAAAGATGACTTACACAACATCTGACACCATGGACTTTCTTGATGTGGCCCACTTCTGTGATGATGCCACGTCGGATTTCTCCTCTGATGTCCTACTTGCCTTTTGTTCGTTGACCTCCGATGGGTGAAGCTGTATCGATACAACACAGGTTTACAACACTTGCTGGGGATTATCATCAGACATGTCGCTGAATATTTACTATCACTGCTGTATCGATACAATATAGGTTTACAACACTTACAGGTGATATCATCATACATCGCAATATTGACATGTCGCTGAATATTTACTATCACTGCTGTATCGATACAATACAGGTTTACAACACTTACTGGGGAGTATCATCATACATCGCAATATTGACATGTCGCTGAATATTTACTATCACTGCTGTATCGATACAACACAGGTTTACAACACTTGCTGGGGATTATCATCATACATGTCGCTGAATATTTACTATCACTGCTGTATCGATACAATACAGGTTTACAACACTTGCTGGGGATTATCATCAGACATGTCGCTGAATATTTACTATCACTGCTGTATCGATACAACACAGGTTTACAACACTTACTGGGGAGTATCATCATACATCGCAATATTGACATGTCGCTGAATATGTACTATCACTGCTGTATCGATACAATACAGGTTTACAACACTTGCTGGGGACATCATCATACATCGCAATATTAACATGTCGCTGAATATGTACTATCACTGCTGTATCGATACAATACAGGTTTACAACACTTACTGGGGACATCATCATACATCACAATATTGACATGTCGCTGAATATGTACTATCACTGCTGTATCGATACAATACAGGTTTACAACACTTACTGGGGACATCATCATACATCACAATATTGACATGTCGCTGAATATTTACTATCACTGCTGTATCGATACAATATAGGTTTACAACACTTGCTGGGGACATCATCATACATCACAATATTGACATGTCGCTGAATATGTACTATCACTGCTGTATCGATACAATACAGGTTTACAACACTTACTGGGGACATCATCATACATCACAATATTGACATGTCGCTGAATATGTACTATCACTGCTGTATCAATACAAATTCAAACGTTGCGTTACTGAACCAATAGTTCGATCAATGTTAAACACTTTCAATGACCTGCTTAACTCACCTCTTCCTGTGGAAACTTATGCTCATACACGTAGAACTGGTTGAAGACAGCAATTTCTCTCTCGATGTCCAACTTTTCAAGTTCGGAAATACCTTCTTCAAATATTGCCTTCAGTTTCTCTTTCCTGAAGTAAGGAATATGAATAGTACTTACAGGATACCTTAATATGCTCAGAGTTGGTAAAGGGGTGGTCATTTGATATTCTGGTAGGGGTTGCTTCCACTGAAACATCCCATCCACCCGAACACCAAATGGTCTGTCCCTAAATTTTAACAGCGCCTTAACAGTTGATACAGACTGGAAAGGCAGTAACAGATTCCAAGATTTGTTAAGGTCAGTTGACAGTTTTAAGTTTTAAAAACATACAGGACCATTATAAACTGCAAAAGAGTCCTGTCAGGAGAGTCAATCCAACAATAATAGCATGAAAATAAGTGCTAGTATTCGCACAGATCCCTGGGGGCAGAGTGATCACTATAGCAGCAGCAGCATATAGAACTCTATTAGGTGCCCTGAAAGTATGGGACAATCCTAGGATATTAGGGGACTGACCTTGCAACTATTAAAGCCGGGTATAATTAATGTCTTAGGTAAAGAAGCATCCATCCATATTTAAAGCCTCACCTGTGAAACTCTACATTTTTGTTGCTCTTCAACATCAAACCCAAAACCGTCTTTAGGTTTTCAAGACGAGCCATCTCAAAGGCATCCGAATCATTCTGGAATTTTTTCATTTCCTGAAACACATATCCTTCATGATTGTGACAGAATTCTAAACATTCTCAAAAACAAAAGACTAAGTCTGCATGAAAGTCAATGGCGCATGAAAGCAAAACAATGACAGTGCAATTTAATGTCACAATTTCCAAGCAACAAAGAGAACATCTTTTTTCATCTGTGTTCTACATGAACTATGAAAGCGTTGGTGCAATTTAACTGTCACAATTTCCATTTCTGGTGCAACGAATTGCTGGAAACTATCTGGTTTTCATCTGTGTCCTTACCTCAATGAAAGTCATTCGTGTGGATTTTTCCTCTCTGAGCTTGTCTCTGTAGGTTGTCTTGGCCCCTGCAGCTTCAGCCTCTAGTTTCTGCCAGTGCCCCAAGAGAACCTGGAACTTGGTGGGATTGTCCTCCCTCTCTCTGTAGGCTTCATCCAGCTGTGGCTTGAAGTCATCTGCCTTGTCCTTTGTCTGGTAGAACTCCTGGAATAGCATGGAGGAATAAGTCCACTGACAAGCTCGTGTTGTTGTCATGCAGTGTTCACGAATGGTGTTTTAAAGTAACAGGACATTGGGTCCTGTAAGTTTCAGCAGAGACCCTATAATAATAATCTATTATATGGTGAAAATTCACAGGACCAATAGAATATAATTAAACACACATTTCAGATTTAACATTTCTTATAATTGGCATTGAAATTATTAACAAACATAAGATTTATAAACAGCAAACAAGTGTCACATGTCACATATAACAACTTCAGTCAAAGTCATTGTGAAATATACAGTCAGACACTGGGGCCGGGGGGTTGTAGACTTCTATCGGACCGTTGGCGAATCTGCCGGATTTGTCAGAGGGTCAGACACTATTCGTGAACATTGGTCATGCCCTGTACTGACAGACTACAACACAACATTTTCATCCAGCAATGGTCAGTGGAATATGCTTATAACACATGGAAGGGAACTGGGTGCCTGAAGACCACAACACAACATTGTCATCCAGCAATGGTCAGTGGAATATGGTTATAACACATGGAAGGGAACTGGGTGCCTGAAGACCACAACACAACATTGTCATCCAGCAATGGTCAGTGGAATATGCTTATAACACATGGAAGGGAACTGGGTGCCTGAAGACCACAACACAACATTGTCATGCAACAATGGTCAGTGGAATATGCTTATAACACATGGAAGGGAACTGGGTGCCTGAAGACCACAACACAACATTGTCATCCAGCAATGGTCAGTGGAATATGCTTATAACACATGGAAGGGAACTGGGTGCCTGAAGACCACAACACAACATTGTCATCCAGCAATGGTCAGTGGAATATGCTTATAACACATGGAAGGGAACTGGGTGCCTGAAGACCACAACACAACATTGTCATCCAGCAATGGTCAGTGGAATATGGCTTATAACACATGGAAGGGAACTGGGTGCCTGAAGACCACAACACAACATTGTCATCCAGCAATGGTCAGTGGAATATGCTTATAACACATGGAAGGGAACTGGGTGCCTGAAGACCACAACACAACATTGTCATCCAGCAATGGTCAGTGGAATATGCTTATAACACATGGAAGGGAACTGGGTGCCTGAAGACCACAACACAACATTGTCATCCAGCAATGGTCAGTGGAATATGGTTATAACACATGTAAGGGAACTGGGTGCCTGAAGACCACAACACAACATTGTCATCCAGCAATGGTCAGTGGAATATGCTTATAACACATGGAAGGGAACTGGGTGCCTGAAGACCACATTTAAGACATATGCAATTACAGGAACAATGGAGGAACTGCAACATCAAGCAGCAAATCATCCCAATCTTATTGCATGTGGGGTTTCATTTAGAAATTATTCCAGTAATAGATACACCTGGTAATACTAGTCTATATAATATAACTGAAAATCTACTGAAAATGATGCTGATGCTGTCTGTTTACAACCACTCACATCCTTCAACTGTTCTATCTCCTTCTCCAGCTTCATCTGCTTTTTCCTGGCTCTCACATACATTGACTGTGTGGCCTTGTTTGAAGCATTGATATTTTCAGAGTGAATGTACCTAAGAAGTCAGAAAATTAACACAAATCCATTATAAGATATTGAAAAGGAAAATATAAAGATTCGTCTGGAAAGTTCATTCACTTTATTTTCTCTCAAAGAAAACCCTGCGACTGGAGTACAACCAAAGATCAATGACACAAAATCTGATGTCACACATACATATCAGATATATAGCAGCAATGTGATTTTTACTTCAGTCAGCTATTGTCATAAGCACTGTTTAATAGCCATGCTTTGAAAGAGTATCATCTTAATACTTACTCTCTCTTAAGTCAGTGAGTATGTAAATATATTTTCTATCTGACTCAGTACTTACTGATGAAGGCGATCGATTGGGCCTCTTGCAGCATACATGGCTTTAAGGCATTTAGCATGCAGATCCTCCTTCTGCCTTACAGTTTCCATCCAGGCGTTCATGACAGTTTTCACCTGGTCATATGCTAAGTTGCTACCTGTATTTACACAGAAACATACATATATAGGCTTATATGAGAGCATTCCTTTGGTTGTTAACTAATGCTGCATCTGAATGAGACTTATGGCCCAAACTATAAACTCATTAGGGACAGATTTCATTTCAAAAGTCCACATGTAGGTACACAGAAATAATTACACACATTCTCAAGATGGCATACATCTTTTACAAGTCAGTGCTCCATGTACATGGGACTGGCATTCTTAGGGCTTTGTTTTCATGTCATACATGTTATAGGAAATGACACAAAGATATGACATATTTTTCTGTACAGACTTACCAATTTGGGTCATCACACTATCTACCCATTTGGTTTGGAAGTCCTTGTATATTTTGCAGATTCTTCTCTCCAGTTTAGCACTGTCTGTCAAGAGGTTAAGAAGTGTTATCACTGAACTGAAAAATAAAAAATTGAAACATGAAATAGTAGAACCAATACATTGTAGGAAGCATTGGAAATTACTTCAAAAATTCTTTGATTCAAAGACTGTATAATGATAATGTCCTTTACAGACCTTGACACAAAGGAATGTTAACATTCGAAATCAAGCATGAAAATCAAATGCTTAAAGTTAAAAGATGCATGGTTAGCTTGGTTTAAAAACTATTACAGCAAACCTAAAACACTTAAGGGAAGCTATACTATAATACAATCACATCATGTTATTCTTCAGACAAGTCTTACAACATTTGGTCTACCACAGCCATGCAGGGATTAAGCCCAACTGTCAAGAAAAGGAAATGCTGGTTGGCATGTTGGGTTTCCTGAACTTTTGTGGCTTTTTAATCCTCCCACCAGCTGCTCATATTTCAGCTTGTTGACAACACAACCACGTAATTGTGTTTGTTAGTTGTTGTTTTGGTTTGTTTTTGTTGGGTGTGTGTGTGTGTGTGTGTGTGTGTGTGTGTGTGTGTGTGTGTGTGTGTGTGTGTGTGTGTGTGTGTGTGTGTGTTGTGTGTAGGGTATACATATATTTAAATGTATGTCTGTTTGTTTGCCTAAGGTGGTATAAACTTTTTGTAAATGACACACATACAGTCAAGCGAAAATATTAATAATTTTTTAAACACTGCACAAGAACCAGAAGCATTTCAGTTCATGCACGTGTTATTTTATTGGCGCTTAATGTTCGGACTAAACATTGATGTACATCTTCAGTTAAATGTGCGAGGCGGTGCTTTAATAACCTTTCGAAGAGACAATACTGTTTCTTATCGAACGAAAACAATCTACGTCCACATATTTGCTGATTATTTCGTCAAAGAGCTTGTCTTAGCACAAGATTCTGATGTTTCGAGTGCGAATTGAGCAATAATACATCAATTTACAAGTTTTCATCTTAACTCACACTGGAAACTTCCGATTCCTGTCGTGAAAGCTGGACAGAAGTCATGGCTCACTTTGTAAACTTTTTAATGCATTGAAACATAAAAAATGTCCTTATACTCACGAAGATCCACGTGAAAATCGTTTAAGTGCAGCTGGTGTCGACGCCTGACACCATTCGGGTGCTTCTAAGTGTGGATCTACGTCTGCCATGTTTGATTTTTCCGCCAGCGTAACTATCTTGATCCTTCCATGAGCGTCCCTGGGGGACAGAATGGCGTCGCTAGGGAACGCCACTAGCGATACGCATTTTGATTGGAAGAGCTAATACTATCCCAGGAGCCCTTGCGGCATAGTTGGGACCACTGTGGTCGAAAAAAACAGCGGTGTGACTCGATAAGTGAGCGAGAAGTCCAGATACGATTGATGTAACTTTGTTCTGAAGGTTCAAGTTTCACTTCAACATTTGTACTTGTAAGACAGAAAAACGATCTATGGGAGATAATCCCGTGTTCCTTTTACGATGACGATTTAGCGATGAGAGTTACTTCCCTTCAAGCGGAATGCAAGATGGCGTCGAGCAAAGACGTTTGTCTTGATTCGTACCGTGGTTCATGTGATAATTTACATGTTTACGCCCAAATACGGACCCTTGGCACAAGTGTCACTTATAATGGAGATTTATTTCTGTACCCTTATACATTATACGGAAGCAAGAACAACCCAAACGATGAATTAAACGCGGTCCTTAAATTTTTTATGCATTTCAATGATTTCATCACTCTGAACACAAACCAGTATTTTCATTTGGAAAAGATAGATTCTAGAACTTTGTACAGGTCCTAGTGTACTTGGGAGAAACTGTTGAACTTAGGACTGACTGACTGAGTTTGGTTTTACGCCGCTTTTAGCAATATTCCAGCAATGTCACGGCGGGGGGACACCAGAAATGGGCTTCACTCGTTGTACCCATGTTGGGATTCGAACCCGGGTCTTCGGCGTGACGAGCCAACACTTTAACCACTAGGCTACCCCACCGCCCGTTGAACTTAGGAAGACAGTGTGGCATCTAGTCCATGACACGATCCTTATTAACAGTGGCTACCTGAGAAAGTTTAGCCTGATGATCCTACACCTGCTGATTTTGACAGTATTGACCCAGCTGTACTTGATCACGATGAGGTTGAAACCCAAAGTCCAGACTGTGCCAGACCGATCCGAGAACAACCAAAAGTATTCCATCAAGAAGATTCCAGGAAAAAGTATGTTGATCAAATGTGGTATTTGGGTGTAAAGTGGTTTGGATATTATTCAGAAAATTGTTGGGTTGTTCCAATAATTTCAACCCACTCTGTTAAAAACTAGTTGAAGAGACACACTCTCAGATACCAAGACATCCTAAGAGTCAGACACGGAACCTATTCATTATTCTATAAGGTTTTACAGCCATGCATACTGTAATTATTGTATTTTAAGATTTCATGATCAATGGACAATTATTTGGTTGATGGTTTGATAAAGTTCAACATTAGCCATAACTAATCATGCTGATTTAGTTTTGTTAATTATGTCAGCATTCACATGGGAAAGAGTTAAATTTGCTCAGCATGAGCTCTCATGCTTAAGTAAACTAAGTTTCAACTTCTGAACCTGAATCGCATGAAATACATGTCTGTTTCAGTTAGGACCTTCATCCTTGTATGCCTATGTAAGGGCATCAGCAGGAACTTAATTTCCACTAAAACATTTGGCAATATTCTTAACCTTTACCCACATAAACATGCCATTTTATAATTGTTATTACAGTTTTGTCTTAAATAATTTGTGATTTCTGCAAATGATTCTCACTTTAGAAAAAGTAGAGAGTGATCTGTCAGTGAAAAGTGTAACTGTACTTATTGCAACTTTGTTCAGATGATTATAGTGGTATTTCATATTTTTATTGTAAGGTTATGGGTCAAAGGGACACAGTCTAGTTGGCCAATGTTGCTGCTGCTGATACATATGAGAGTTACCTCCCTTGGTGGTCTTGATTTGCCCAACATTATTGCATTCGTCACCACTCGCCCCTTTCCGTAACCTCCAAGCAGCTATTCGGCTTGTCCCGGAATAACACGAGTTGGTCACGAATGACATTATTGGTGATAAGAATATGAAGGTGGTCCTAAGGGACCGTTCATAATTTATGGCTAAGGGGGGTGGGGGTGATGATGATGATTTGGGTGTGTGTGTGTGTGTGTGTGTGTGTGTGTGTGGTGGTGGTGGTTCACCCATTTTGTTCTGGGGAGCTAGGGGGAGTCAGCAATTTTGTACACACGTAGAAGAGGGGGCAGCAATTTTGTACATAAAAATATGTTTAAAATTATGCTTAGAATTATTATGGGGTGGGGGGATGTCATTGATTTTGTACGTAAACATGCAAGGGCGGTCACTTATGTTTGTACATAAATTTGTGGGGCATTCACATTGTACATGCTTCTCCATAAAAAACATCACCACCACCCCTAGCCCTAAATTATGAACGGTCCCTAACATTTCTGCAATGATTCTGATTTGTTTCTTCAGAACAGTGTTAATGTGAATTATCTTAGCAAAGTATAAGGGTCTGATGACGCTCCATTGATGAACCTAATAACTTGATTGAAAATGAATAATATGAAGTGGCTAACAAATAAATTAAGATAGCACATGTTTGCTCATTAAGCTGCACATAGCAATATGATGGAGGTCTGTCAATATACGTGCATGGACCAGACAATCCAATGAATGACACCATGAGCATCCATCTATGCGGACCGTTGAAGATCCAGGTTAGAATTGGTCTTCAATAACCCATGTTAGTCACAGAAATGAATCCCGAATTGTGCTTCAGTTTATCTGGAGAATGGTATTATATCTACCTAAATGTCACTTTACTGAAAGAGGTGGTAGCCTAGTGGTTGAAGAGTTCGCTGGTCACGATTCCCCACATAGGTACATTCAATATCCAGATTAAAACTCATTGCCATTTCTGGGCCGACTTGCCTGCATATTATTAATATATATAAATGTTCTCAAAAAAGAACTTACATAGGTACCTTATAGAAGTGTCCTGAATTGTGCCTTATATGAATTGACCTAAATAAAGTATTATATCTACCTAAATATCATTTTGCAGTGTCACAATACATCACGTGTAAAGATAACTGGTCCATCAACGTGAAGCCCTTTTCTCTTTCATTCCCAACACAAACTCAATCAAAAGTATTAAGTCTCTGTTTCCAGGTATTGGAGACTGTCAAGAAGGTAAATAGCGTTGTCTAAAGTATCGCCTCCACACAATGATACAACCCAATTAGAACTGGCATGAATTTGACTTAATGGGGGTAAGGTGAGGTGAAATTGGGTTTTATGAGAATGCTTGTACTAGCCCAGACTTAAGCTGGTTTTATAGTGCTAGCCCACTGAGATACCATGCCGCAGTTGCATAACTCAGACAATTATACTTGACCAGGGACCCATTAATGCCGAGCCCAGCAAATGTACCATATTTTAAGTATGACGCGGTCGGGGATCGAAGCTTTCTCCGGGCGGACGCTCTTATCATTTGAGGACTTTTAAGCCTGGTATTGAATAATAACTGTATAGCCTGTTAACTGTATACCAAAGATGTTGGGAAACTGTTTCTTTAAGAGAATATCAACAGCTTCCATAACACTCTATAAAGTCATATTTGGGTAGATATAACTCTATCCTATGGGTATATGCACAGTTCAGGATACATCTGTGAGGTTTACGTCGGGCGGAACAATTGTGACGGGAGATAATGTTGAGAGTGCTGGGAAAGGGTCGTAGAAATTTGCTCAGATATAGATATAAAAGCTATTTCCGGGCGAAGGAAATGTGATTCAAGATAGACTGAAGTATTCATACGTTTTACATCCTGTTCCCTTTAACGATTCCTCTTTTACACGTAAAAGTGCTCGGCCACGTTCAAAGACTACTCGCCTTCCTTAGTTTTAAACTCGCATTAACGTTATTATGGTACACGTGCG